TGCCAGGGACATATGGCTTATGGGTGGTTGAGCTGGGATCAAATCCTATGAGCCTGGCCCTGCCTCCAGAGCCCACACTCTTTTCCACTACACTCTACTGTCCTGTTAGAGACACAGCCCATAACTCATGGGTTAAGAATTAGGACAAATGCAGTATACCATAATGTAGTAGTTTTTCTTTAGATCCTATGACACAGAAAATAACGATGAAACTGTGTCAAAGAAATTACATGATGAGAGACTATTGCTGTTATTTACTAAGGCATGTAATGTTTCATAAGTGATTAACCACTCTAATGCCAAGATTTCTGGTTTTAATAATCCCAAGTTTTCTGGGTATTAAAGTTGTTATGAAAAATAAATGAACAATGAATTTGTGAAATGTGTAACACTATGCCTAGCACAGAGTAAGCACCCCACAAATGTTAGTGGTCTCTTACTGTTACTGTTTTTGTAATAATGGATTAGCAGAATTTAAAATAATTTAGGTCTAAATTTTATTTACTCCTGGTTTCTATCATACTTACAATGTAAGTTGTTACAACACAAAGTTTGCATCTCATGAAAAATTCTATAGATGTATTTCATTCTTTTGATATGCTATTCTGTACTACAGTCAATTTTTTAATAAAAATACTAGTTTAATATATATCTAGAATAACATGGGAGGAATCACCCATGTTATAACATGATAAAATTATGATGTGATAAAATGTGTGCATAATATTTAACAAAAATAAAAAACTTCTTCCAGTCTTTTGCTTAACTAAGCCACTGAAATCTATGTATGCAGTAGAAGACAACAGAATCTTTTTTTTTCTTAGCCCACATTAAAAAAAGTGTGAGTATAAAAACATAAGTTCAGCGTGAACATTGCTGGAGGAAAACAGAGGCGATACATTTAGAAATGAAGTGAAATTGCTCATAAATGTACAAAGTGAATTCTGTCCCAAAGTCTTAAACATTAAACTAGCTTTAGCAAAGTTCAAAATTTGTCTTGTTTTTTTAATCCATCTAGCCACTCTCTATCTTTTGATTGGTGAACAATCCATTTACATTTAGAATGATTATTGATATTTGAGGGCTTGATACTGCCATTTTATCTTCTGTTTTCCAGTTGATCTATATTTCCACTGTTTCTTTTCCCTTGTATTTCTGTCTGCCATTTCAGTTTGGTGGTTTTCTGTGATGGCCTTCTCACTTTCTCTTTATTTATGATTTGTGACTCTGCTCTAATTTTCTGTTTTGTGGTTACCAGGAGGTTTGTATAAGAGATCTCATAGGTGAGATGGTGCGTTTTCTGATAGCCTCTTATCTCCATTAGGCTAAGCAGGTTCCATCCCTCTCCTCTTCCCCTTCTACGTTTTTGTTCTCACAAATTATTCTTTTTTGTGTTGTGAGTTTGTGACCAAATTGAAGCGGTTATAGTTGTTTTTGATGCTTTCTTTCCCTTTATCCTTCATTTTATAAGTGTTTGCTAACCTATTCTGATATACAGCTGCAATTTTCTGATTTGTCTGTCTAACTCCTTGCTCAAAGCTTTGTAAAACTTTGCCTTTTTGTTTCAGGTAGGAGGGCTCCCTTCATCATTTCTTGTAAGACAGATACAGTAGCGATGAACTCCTTCAGCTTTTCTCTGTCTGGGAAAGTTCATATTTCTCCATCACATCTGAAGGATAATTTCACTGGATAGAGTATTCTTGGTTGATAGTTTTTGTCTTTCAGTATTTTGAATATATCATTCCACTCTCTCCTAACCTACAAGGTTTCTGCTGAGAAATCTGCTGAAAGCCTGATAGGGGTTCCTTTGTAGGTTATTTTCTTCTCTCTTGCTGCCCTTAATATTTTTTCTTTGTCATTGACTTTTGACAGTTTTAATATTATATGCCTTGGAGAAGGTCTTGTTGCATTGATGCAATTAGGAGTTCTATTAGCTTCACCTACTTGGATGTCCAGTTCCTTCCCCAGGTTTGGGAAGTTCTCAGCTGTTATACCTTTCAATAAGCTCTCTGCTCCTTTCTCCCTCTCTTCTCCCTCTGGGGGACCTATAATCCTTATGTTACTTTTATTAATTGAGTCAGATATTTCTTGAAGAATTTCTTCATTTGTTTAAATCTTAGTTTTCTCTCCTCTTCCACCTGGCTCATTCCTAGGTTTCTATCTTCAACCTCACTGATTCTCTCCTCCATAAGACCTGCTATACTTTTTAAGTTTTATACATTATTTTTTATCTCATTGGTTGTGTTCTTCATATCCAGAATATCTGTTTGATTTTTTTTAAGAGCTTCAATCTCTTTGGTGAAGTATTCCTTCTGTTCATTAATTTTATTCCTAAGCTCACTGCACTGTCTTTCTGAGTCTTCCTGTAACTTGTTGAGTTTCCTTTATGACTGCTGTTTTGAATTCTCTGTCAGTCAGATTGTAATCTTCTGTGACTCAAGTCTGGAGAGCTGGAGAGCTGTCATTCTCCTTCCGTTCTGCTGTGTTACTGTCGTTCTTCATGGTGTTTGATAAGTTGATCCTCTGCCTGTGCATTTGTGGGAATAAACACCTTTTTTCTTTGGGTACAGCTTCAGTTACTTTGGTTCTGAGCTGCTTCTGGTTGTATTTGAGAGCCTGCACGTTCCACCCTCCACTGCCTGGGCTAGAGGCACCGTCAGTGCCCTCGTGTGCTGCTTGTGCCTCTGAGGTTGCTGGTGCACTGCTACTTTCGATGTCGCTGTAGTCTCAGGTATTGCCATTGGGGTCACTAGGCTGTGAGCACTTCTGCTGCTTCTGGGGTCGCCTGGGTCCTGTGTCCCCTACTTGCTCTCCATGGACTCTCCATAGGTTGGGGTGCTGCTGCCCCATACACTACCTGCACTGCTGCTCCTGGGTTATTGTGGGGTGCTGGCAGTGCCACTGCCAGGGGCACTAGGTTCATAGGCATCACTGTTGCAATAGGTGGCCTGGGTATGCAGTCCTTGCTGCCAGCAGAGCCAGTGACAGGGGTGTCACCACCAGGGGCTGGGTCTCAAGTTCTGCTGTGATCTTGAAGCCTCAGGTTGCAGGTGCTACCTGCTGGGGGAGGAATAGAGACTATGCTGCAAACGTTGTTGCTGGCCCTGCAATCTCTGGGCACTGGTGCCTGCCAGTGTGCTTTGTGAGACCTCAGGTCAGGACACTCTGCCCCTGCTGAGGAAATTTATGCCTTGGATGTAGTTCCCACTTCTGGAAAGTCCAGTGCTACTGTCAGGGGAAGGGGAGGTGGCTGGCTTGCCAGCTCTGCTCTGTGTCCTGGAGCCTTGGAATGTGTGCGCCACCCACTACTACTGTGGGGGGCATGGGCCAAGCCAGGAGTGCTGTGTTTGCCCTTGCAGCCTGTGGTGGCCGGCATGTGCACTGGTGTGAGGATCTGCATTTTGGATCACCACCACCGGGGAGGCGGAGGGGACTGCTCCCCTAGTTCCACTGCCTCCCAGGGGTGCAGTCCACCCCTGATCAGGTGTATAGATGTATGGATCACTCAGCCGTTCTGGTGTGCTGTGCAGGGAGCCCTCTGTTGGTCACTGGATGTCTGACTAGTTGTAACTTAGAGGGAGAAGCTAAGGGAACAACTCACTCTGCCATGATGCTGACGTCGCTCCCCAAATTTGTCTTTATTCAAATAGGGAATTAGAGTACCAATGATTAAAAATGCCTCATTTCTTCAGAGTAAGCAAAATAAGTGCTATTCTAGTAGTACTGTTGGTAGGGAGTTTTAGCTGGGACCTTAAAAACCCTGTTTGCTAGGCCTATAGATTACAGACTTATCTGGGTGCAGCTTTTATTATACATGTGGCTTTACCCCTAAATCTTGAAAAATATTGCAAACAAAAATGTGTGTTTGTCTGGGTCTGTTGGTAAAATAGAATCCTTAGCTGAAACATAGTTTGTCAATGGAGGGCATTCCAGTATATACAGCTTTCTATTCCCTTTTTTCAGGAGGGAGATACCTAAACATTTATATATTCCCTTTTTTTTAAGGCTGTCTTCCTCTCCAGTGTTAAGCAGAGGTGTTTGTGGTAATACTTGCTATAACAAGTAAAAGCAAACAAACAAAAATGTTTGATATCATATTCACATACTAAAAGATCAGAAGTGATTTTTTAAACAATAATAATGATGATAAACTCTTACTAATCCTTACTATGTTCAAAGTGCTTTACAAATATTAACTCATTTAATCCCCATAACTCTATGAGGTAGGTGAGGAAACCGAGGCCAAGAGGTTAGGTTCCATGTCCAAGGTCATGCGACTGGTGACTGGATTTGAGCCAAGCAGTCTAGACCAAATGAATCCCAGTCTCTGAGGGTGGGTCTGGAGAATCACATAGTTTTCAAAGGCTCCAAGAGATTCTAAAGAGCAGCCAGGGCTGAGACCCATTCATTAGCAAGTATCACAAACACCTGGAAGGCTTATTAAATCACAGATTGTTGGGCTCCACCAGAGAGCCTCTGATTGAGTGGTTCCCAGGTGCTCTTGGTACCACTGGTCTGGGGACCACGCTTGAAGAACCACAGATCTAGGACACTTAAGATGCTGACTGTCACAGAGCCTTGCTTCTTAAATCATACCACAGTACCTCTTAACATTTGAAGAGAGAAATAATTAGTGGTTGTAGCTTCAAGAACAAAGGCTACTTTGTAGTGCTTTGTTATCCTGGCCTAACTTGCCATAACTCCCACCTGTCACTGTTGACACAACCAACTGTGTCTTATACAAACCAATAAAAAAAAAACCCTCAGAGTTTTGTTTCATATTGTTGTCTGTAGCCTCAGTCTTTTGTTATGTGGAACAGGACTAATACCGGCCTCACTGTTGTGAGGACATAACAAGAAAATAATATATGTAAACAACCAACACAGTGCTTGGCATTTTTGTAATCTCATGATTTTGAGCAAAAATACATTTTTAACAATCATAGTTTATTACTGTTTTTATCTCATATATTTTAGCAAAAAAGCTAAGGAATACTTACCATGGAATGATCTTTTGCAGATTTGTATGCTTTTATATCTGGCATGTTTTTCTCAAGAAGTGCTAGAAGCCATGTTTTGGATTTTGACCAGTTTCTAGGTGAAAAAATTTGCATATAAATTAATTCGAGAGCACTTTATGAGTGATACGTCACAGCACAAGAGGGAGAATGTCTATGGAACCGTGATTTTTTTCTCCAAATGTCTTCATTTTCAGCTAGAATTTCATGAGTGGTCTACCTTCAGACTTCTCAGTCCACGAGGAAAACTGAAGGGGCAAGGCGCCACATTTTAGTGTCTTTTGCAAATAAATGTTACAATTCCTGTAGAACTGGCATTGAATAAGAAAACAGGGCTCATGACTTGATGGTCTACTTTTACTCTGGCTGTTGTCAGTTGCGAGAACATGAAAAATTAGCACAGGGACCCACTGCTGGGTTAATCCAGGTAAAGCAAACTGGCTACGATCTTTTTAATCTTTTCTGACCAGTTACCACTGTAGACCAACTGCCAAGAAATTTAAAAATCATGAGTTACTTTGCCTTCGAATCATTTTATAAACATTTATGTGAGCCACCTGTGAAGAATACATTTGACCACACCCACTTCTGCTCAGAGAGAGTAAGGACAATAATGACTGATTCTGAGAGGGGTTACACTTGATGATTTAGCATGGTTCCAAATTGGAGCAATGAATGTGATTCTAATAAGCTGTAAATGGGATAAAAGGCCTCAAAATAAATTCTTCATTTCATTCTCATATTCTCTTATTTTTGCTCCTCAAAAGAAGAAAAACATGGAAATAGTACATCTCTCCTCTTCAGTTCCTCCCTCAATTCACACACAGACCAAAAACAGTCTAGTCATGAGAAATAGCTTCTCTCTCTTCCACTTAAATTGCTGTCATATCACTTAGAACAGAGAAATGCATAAATTGCTGAGAAGAGCTTGGTCAATGAGTTAATTACAGGAAACAATTCTCTACCTTAGGAGACATTCTGGCATCTGGGACCCATGCTCAAAGCCTTCATCATAAACTTGAAAATGCTGACGGAACTCACTGATTTTCTTTGCGTTTGTGGGAAACAAACCTTTTTTAAAGAGCACATTCACTGTGACTGGGTAAAGGAGATGCCTACAAAGACAGAAACACATAAAAAGTCAGACCCGATGACCAAAAAAGAAAGGCACAGGAGACGAAGAGGGCAATATTTAATAGCTATATACTAGTGGTGGATAATAGTATGTGACAGATTCTTTTGGGAAAATGTCATTCATAAGAGGTTTTAATATTTGCTTATTGTGGTTCAGGTGACTTAGAGGTAACTGAAATCGTGGTCTTAGTTATCTGAAGATTTTAAAATGCCTTCTAAGCAAGCAGTGTTAGATCCTGACAAATGTGAGATGATAATACAGAAATAAATTGATTAGAAGTAATTTCAGCAAACGTCTATTTAACAAATAACAATAACTAGCCATCCCTGGCAGTCTAGTGGTTAAGATTCGGAGCTCTCACCACCACAGCCCAGGTTTGTTTCCCTGTCAAGGAACCACACCACCTGTCTGTCGGTTGTCAGACTGGGGAGGCTGCAACTGGCTGTGATGCTGAAAGCTATGCCACTGAGATTTCAAATACCAGCAGGGTCACCCACGGTGGACAGGTTTCAGCAGAGCTTCCAGACTAAGAGAAACTAAGAAGAAACACACTTCTGAAAAAACTGGCTGTGAAAACCCTGTGAACAGCAGGGGAGCACTGTCCGATGTTGTGTCAGAAGGTGAGAGGATGGCGCAAAAAGACTGGGCAGGGCTCCACTCTGCTGTACCCAGGATCACTAGGGGTTGGAATTGATTCATTGGCACTAACAAAAAGAACCAGTAACTAAGATACAGCTCATGTCTTTAGAGAGCAGCAAAAAGTAACCAAAGAATCAATATTAGGGACCAAATTTCCTAATATCTCACAGGATCCTACAAATTTGAAATATTGCATATTGAAATATAGTACCTATCATCAGTAAATGTTAACATAAGTGAATAAAATGATTACTGTGGCATACTTAAGCAAAAGAATATCAAAGATTGTTAATATGCCTTAGATTAGTAACACTAAGTACTGTTTATTTCATTTTTATTTACCATCTCATCCTCACTAGAAACTTTTCAGGATCTCTTTACCCCAAAGTTTTAAAGATATCCAAGAATTTGCTTTGTTTTCTTGTAGATATTAGGCATGCTAAAAGTTTGGCTGGTTGCTTGTTTTTATTTTCATTTTCTCTCTCTCTTTTTCTGGACCTCTAACAAAATATCAAATGTTGTTCTGTCTTATGAATCTCAACTGTTGAATCCTGCCTTCAGCATCCCAGTATCCCACTGAGATGGAAAAGTGCCTTATGGGTAACATAATTTACCAAATCTCCTTATGCACATGGAGAATTTTTCCCACGGCTCCCAGGCCCAGCCCTTACCTGTACCAGAAAGCTTCAGAACAAGGCTGAGTGACACCTGGGTCCCTCCGCTGCCCTTTCCTAGCTCACCTGTCTCTCAGCACCTCCCCTCTAGGAGGACACTGGGCTCAGTCCTGAGGCCCATATTGTCTCAACCACCCTTGCAAGGCTCTCGAACAGCTCCTGGACCCTTGTCATCTACTTTACGATTCTGTCCTCCTCCCTGTCCTTTCAATGTCCACTTGTTCTAACAATCACAAATTACACTGAATGTTTTATCAAAATTCTGACGGATGCATGACAACTGAAGGAGGAAAATCCATGTAGAGCACACACAATTGTATAGAATGACTAAAGAGAAATTAATGTATTAAAATGACTATATTGGCTTATTTGCTCACCTTAAAATTGGAGTGCTAATTGAAAATTGCCCATTAATTAGAATTTAAAAGATTAATATAATCTCTTAATTGCTTAGTTAGGTAGACTTCATTAATCCACCTGATAATTTTTGAAGTCCAAGGTATAGACTTCAGATTTTTAAAATTTTTATTCCAAATAAACAAGATTAAATCATACCAATGCATCCAATTACCTGACTAAGTTGCTCAGGTCCATTGTCCCGTGAAGGCCTAAATTCTCCAGCTGTTCATGAAGTTCTTCAGTCAGTTGTCCAGTGAGTCGATACACGTTGCTAGTCCCTAATTTCCCTTTCATCATGGTATGAAGTTTTTCATGCATTGTAAAGAAGACATTATTTGGAATTGATGCTATAAACAGAGAAAATTATTATCAAAAGAAGCAAATAGTAAATATACCCCTACTAATACCTGGTCAGTAGGGACTGTAGCCAAAGTCCACCCAGTACATCAAACCAGCTCCCTCAAATAAAAGGAGACAGTAGAAGTATGTAGGGTGATTCACTTTAAGGGATGATCTATAAGGGGGTGATTAACAAGGCCTCTGGAAAACACAAATCTAGTGATTTTATGTCCCTGTTTTAAATCCTTTGTGGCTTCCTATCCTTAACAAAGTTTACAAGGTCTCCTACCATCTTTCTAGCTCTCCAATGATATTTCCAGCCCCTTGTCCCTCCAAATCCAGGTATATTGAAAACACACACTCTTTTATACATCCCAGCATTTTCGTGAGCTGTTCTATCTGCTCAGAACATTCTCTACTTGACCAACCTTACCCCCACACCCCTACATCGACAAGCCATAAATTTCTCCTGCTGATTTCTGTTTCTCTTTCAAGTGTCTTCTCGAATATTACTTCCAGCAGGAGGCCTTTCCTAAACTCGTGAATAGCTCTGACCCCACTATTTCCTCTATATTAGTGTTCATGCTCCTTCCACAATACACACTCCTGGCTGGGTTGAGGTGGTGAGAGGAAAAGTGAGTTTTTAAACTCATTATTCCTTTATATTTTTCTTTAATCCTGTTTTATTGTCTTCGAAGTAAGTTTTTCAAAAAATAATTTTTTATTTTGTAATTCATCACTCGATTCTGTGTAGGTTATATTTTGTGTAAGTTAATTAAAAATAATTTTTAGATTTCCTGAGCATACATCTTCTCTGTGGTAGGGGAATACATAAGAGGAATGAGAGGCTGGCTCAAGAGTAAATATTAACATATTTCATCTGTTAAATAGAAATATTTAAACATAAAAGTCCCAGAGGAAGCACAAGTGAGAAAACTTGATCAATTCCATATACCTCTGACAGGTGAGTAAGCACGTATATTTCCCTGAAGGGGTATGTGAACTTAGAGATCAAGAGCCTTCAAAGTTTTTAATTCTTTGATCTAGAATTCTGTAGTCCACACATCAAGAAGTACTAAATAGCCAAGGAATTTAAGCAACATGTTGTGATTTTCATGCAAACAAAATGAAAAATAATCATGCTATTGATCACTGACAGCTTTTAAAACAAACTTCTGTGTCTTAATGGCCAGAAATGCACTAGAGACTACATGAAAAGGAACCTAAGAAAAAAGCAGAAAGGGAAGCAAAGAGAAAGAAGCTACAGACAGTAGAAGCAAGCACAGCCATTGTGAAAGCAGAGAAAAGGACCAGGCACAAAATGAACGGGCCTTGCCTTCTTGGGAAGACAAATGACCTCAGCATGCATGTTTGCAGCCTGGGAAGAAATAAAGGCAGACCGTCATACTGGAAGCATGCTGACTAGTACAATCCAGCAGTCTCTGAAGATGGAGAATGAAAGGGCATCAATTACATGAAGCCAAGCCCCACTTACCTTAACAGCCCTACGGAATATGTCAGGAAATGCCACGTAAAGGCTTTACTAAGCAGTGGAATTCTACGTTCAGGGAGAAGAGTGGCAACATGGGATCAAGCCTAGAGCTGTAACCTGTGGAACACTGTATATGCAGCAGCAGAACAGAGTTAGTCACAGTGTGGAGAGCTGCAACAGAATACAGATTCCACATACTTTCCAAAGTAAACATCAGTGAGGTAACCTCATCTCTTACACATGTCTAGTCAAGATCTAAATGGATTAAGTTGCCAATAATTTGTTTTTCAATGACCAAACTCATCATAAATTCTTTCCTCCTTCTATCCCTACTCTAAAGAATAAAAAAATGGGTCCCCTCATTCTTGATAGAGTGAGGATGATGTAATTGTTACTTAAAACTACTCTTGGATTCCGATGTTGTATTTTAAAGGAAATAGCTGAAAATATTCTTTACCTGTATGATAGATGGGACTTTGCACTGCTAGTTTAAAATTTACTTCTTTGGATTTTAGAAACACATTAATCCCCTCTTCTTCAGTAACAAAGGTCATTCGCTTGCCCACAGCAAAGACTGTAAAAATTGGTCCATACTGAAAGAAAACACACAAATAGAGGTCATATTAGTAAGCATTTCTGTTAAATAAGTTACTGGGCTATGGGCTATGTTTAAGACAGTGTTCATCAAGAACCCCAATGCTGAAGTTATAGCCAAAATAAAAATTATTATGATTATATAAGGTAATTAGTCATAAGTCTTGACTGATTCAGCCAAATCTAAATTACATGAATCCTAACTTATTCTGTCCTAATACTTAACCTTCCTTTTGATCATGTTATTTTCTTGCACCTTCCTTTCTCGTTAGAAATAATTACTAGAAATCATATCAAACACTGTGATTCTTGAACACTGTTTCCAAGATATCAGTAGGTTTATAAGCAACCTCTAGCTCAACTTAGTTTAGCAAAAACACACAAAATTGCTGACTGATTTTACCATAAATCTGTGGTCACTCAACAGCGCCTTGCAATCCTAAAAAGCTTTCTAATGCGTTCACTTACTCACTTTCCAACATGATTATTTCACCTGGACACCTTGCCCAACCCTCTCCACTCTGAGATAGTGTTCCCGCTTTCTAACTCACAAGGAAAATGGAGGCAATCAAGTTCGACTACTCTCCACTTCTCACCACCAGATCTTGCAGAGATACACATTTGTACCCATTCTCAATGCTTCCCGTCAGGTTAACACAGATGGAAGGTCCTGCCCCTGTGAAACACCAACATTTCTTTATTCGTGTCCTGGCTTCCACACTCTCTTACCTTCTCTTTGCTGTACATTTATGCCTTCTCTCCTCTACATCATGAGTTTGCCATCTCTATCAGATCGCTCCCAGCAGCCTACAAACATACTGTAGTGCCAGGTTTGATTTTAGGGAGTATATGACTTTACTGGGAGAAAAATATATCATTATTTTCATTGACCTCTAATTGTAATTTAGCATTTTCTCCAATTGAGAGTGTAGGCAACAAACCACAATCTTATCCATGACTTGATCATCAAAAGAACCCACTGTTCCAACTGTATTTTCTTAGATTCTGTGCCTATTTGGCATCCATTCATCACAGGGCCAATTATTTAAGCTCTATTTTCTTATTCTTGATGCTCTGGCATTGGTGTTGTCACTACTGGGGAGAAAGGGACCTCCCAGGGCTAGCCAATTCTTAGAGATAGCAAAGGGCTCAGCCAGCCAGGAGCATGCCTTTCACATGCAAACCAACAAATACTGAGCCTATATCCCCTACTACCTCCCTATCTAACTCTCACACACCAAGCCAGTATTTTCCCTGCCCTAAATCATCCCAGGGCCAGGTACCAGGTAACTAGAGGCCAGCCCTATAGCCCAAAGTCTGTAGGAATTATTTAAACTAGCCAGGCCTGAATTGTTTACCTTGCCCTGCCTTGCCTTTCCTGAGGAAGCCCCAGTAAAGGCTCTGGCCTAAGTTTTGCTCTTGCTCCTATCTTCTGCATCCTGGCTGACACTGGTGTTTTTCCCTGTGGCCCTGCATGGCATGCAGTGACCCGCCTCAGACCTGTGAATATAATAAATTTCTTCCTTCCAAGTCTCATCCTCATTTCCTCCTGTGGCTGCAATGACTTTACCATACTACATCCTACATGTACAACTTTAGAACCACCACCCATAATTTTATATCCCATTACAGTTATTATAAATACCTCAAAATATCATTTATGCTCATCACTACTTCAATATTACAATTATTTCTAGACATGTTATGAAACAGCACATGATCATTCTTACGACACACCTCTGGGCACTATGAGGCAAATGTGGACCCAATAATCATCGAGCCACTGAACACCAGAGTCTCATTTTCTTACAGTAGTGATCCAGACATCTAATTGCTCTCCAATATTCCTTATTAATGATTATTTGTTAAGCAATACTTAGAAGAAGATGCATAATTTTCATTGTTTAAGTTTTGTTCAAATGAGAATTCTTAACTTTCCATTAGGAAAGTGGCCTTTGTAACATAAATAGGCATCCAGGCCACAGCGCAGAACAGCCAAGTTCAACATATTGAATAGCTGAGATAACTGCTGACACATGGTATCTAAAGTAACTTATTGCAAAGCAATTGCAGATGGCAAATGATCATGTGAATTATTACACATTCTGTAGCAGTGGTGGGTTTTTGTCTTATTTGCTTTCCTTTCGTTCTTTTTTTTTTTTTTTGCAACAACTGCACTCTGGGTATTATGAGATAAAGGCAAGCACACACAGTATGTTGTAGAAGCGGTACTTGTGTATTTTTTTTTATTAAACTTTTTGAGATAAGTGTAGACTAACATGCAGTTATAAGGAATAATACTGACAGATCCCATGTATCTATTTCTCTGTTTCCTTTAGTGTGAACATCTCCCAAAACTATAGTACAGTATCACAACCAGGCTATTGACACTGATAAAGTCAAGATACAGCATATTTCCATCATCACAAAGATACCTCATGTTGCCCTTTATAACCACAGCCATTTCCTTCCCATCCCCCCCTCCTCCTTAACCCTTGGCAACTACTAACCTGGTCTCCATTTCTCTAAGATTGAACATCAAGGATATTATGAAAATAGAATCATATAGTATGGAAACTTTGGGGATTGGCTTTGTTTTACTAAGCATAATTCACTTGAGATCCAGCCAGGTTGTTGCATGTATCAGTAGCTCATTCCTTTATATTTCTGAGTATTCCATGGTATGGATATACCATAGTTTGTTTGAACATTGTTGAAGAACATTTGTGCTCTTTTCAGTTTCAGGCTCTTACAAAAAAAAGTTTTATAAACATTCATGTACGGGTTTTTTTGTGAACATGTTTTCTTGAGCTCTCATTGCCTTTCCTCAATAGCTGCTGCTCCTAAGAGATATAACCCTCGTCTTCCCAGGTGTTCTCTTCACTTTTAGAAGATGGTGCCTTCCAGAACCTTCTGAGAACTTTCTTCGTCATCTTTTGCTACCTTCCTCAATATCCATAGCCTGTTTATCTTAGCCCATCTCACAGTGATTCCCACTCTGTGTATTGCCTTCTCCTATCTCAGAGTGTATATTTCTGAGTTTTTCCATTATTGAACCCCCTTACTATAATAAAGTTTCATTTGTCTCTTGCTGCTTTTAAGAATTCTTTCTTTGTCTTTAGTTTTTAGAAGTTTGCCCATCGTGTGTCTTGATGTGGATTTTGATGCGGATTTCCTGGGGTTTATCCTGTTTGAACTCAGCTTACCTTTTTGAATCTGTAGGTTTATGTCTTTTGCCACATTTAGGAATTTTTCAGCCTTTATTTCTACAAATAGTTTTTCAACCCCACCTTCTTTCTCCTCTCCTTCTGGGACTCTGATGGCTTAAATGTGAGATCTTTTGTTATAGTTTTACAGTCCCTGTAGCTCTGTTCATTTTTCAGTTTATCTTCTCTCTGTTAGTCATAGTGGATAATTTATATTGATCTTTCTTCAACTTCACTGATTCTTTTCTCTCTCTTCTCCATGGTGCTATTGTACCATCCATATTTTTTCTTTTTTAACTATTGTAGTTTATCAGTTCTAAAATTTCTAGGAGCAGCAGCTGTTGAGGAAAGGCAATGAGAGCTCAAGTCTGGAAGATTCGATCCTGGAAGACAGAGGAGCCATGGATGCAGAGACACTATATTTCCACTGTAGCAAGAGAAGATAGAAAACTTAAGCCAAGAAACACAGAAAGCAACTGCCCCAACCAAAACTTCCTGCTGACAGCTGGTCCAAGACAACTCAATTCCTTAAGATACGATTAAACATGAAGGAAAACTTCAGTACTATAAGAAAAATTCTTAAAAAAAAAAAAAAGAAAGAAAGAAAAGCAGAAAAGAGAAGCAGAAGTTCCTTATAAAGAAACTCTCCCCAAATATTTGCTAAATAGAGTACATAAAATCTGTAATGCTAAATTCTTTTTATGAAATTAAAAAGTTAATATTGTTGCAGCTGCAAAGGAAATAAACAAAATAGAAATATAAGAAACTATGGAAGAAATAGTCAGACAATAGAAGAATATTAGGAAATAAAGGAATTCAGGAAAGAAAGAGACGATAAAAACATTTCTGAATAAAAGACAATTATGAGAAGGATAAGGGAGACAGAGTCACGAAAAACAAAGAGTCTAAGAGAAAAAGAGTACAGAAATAGAAATATGACATAGAAATAAATATGTGAAAAGAATTGCAGGGGAAAGGATGGCTATAGAAGAGAGGCAAAAGAGATTAAACCTACGCATAATTGGACCACTTTCCCAAACTCCAGGTTCATTTATCCAACTGCTTGACTCAGCACCTCCACTTGGATGTCAACATCCCAAACTCCTACGTATCTAAAAGTGAACTCTGATCTTCCCTTCCAATGAGTTCTTCTTGCAATCTTGTCCATCTCACTTGATAGTAACTCCACTTTCTATTTTCTCAAGCTAAACTTCCAGGAGTCACCTTTGACCCTTTTCATTCTTTTATATCCCACAACCACAATCAATCTATCAGTAAATTCTGTTGCTTCCACCTTCAAACTATCTCCAGCCACTTCTTAAACTTTCACTGCTATCACCATGGTCCAAGCCACCATGACCTCAAGCTCAAATTATTGCAATAACCTTCAAATTATCTTCTTTCTTTTACCATTATATTCCTATTTTTAACAGAGCAGCCAAACTGACACTTTAAAATTTAAATCAGGTCACATTGCTCCTCTGCTTAAAAGTTTTCCTATTTCATTCTAAATTACAAATGCATTTACTCTTCGATTCTGATAATTTACTGTACAGATACACTTGCACAGACATAAATAACATTTGTTGCTACATTATTTATAACAGAAAACTATGGAACACAAATCATATCAACCATTAAGTGACTGTTTAAGGGAACTATGATTCAGGGGATACTTTGTAGCTTTTAAAACAAACGCAGATGCTTCCGCGTCAGTGTAGGATGAGGTAGAACCAGGTGATTCAAGGATCTCACTGGAAAGTAGGAAAAGATGAACAGATTACAAAGATCATATTTTTAAAAGCATCTGACAGTTGGGGAAATAATAAGAACTAAATGGACTAAAATTTCACAGACAAAGAACTGCAGAGAAGTGAATATACAATAGGTTACTATTTATTTACCTAGTGAGGTGAATAATTCTGTGAATTATGGACTTAGGTTGAAGGTCAAGACTGAAATAGGCACCTTGAAAAAAACAGCTAACACTAAACTTAATGGTGAAATTTTGAACACCTGTCCCCTAAGATTAGGAAAAAGACAAGCTTGTCATCTGTCACCACATCTATTCAACAGAGGTCATACTGATTGTAATAACACAAGGCATAAGGATGAGAAAAAAAGGAATCAAATTTATCTGTTTGCAGGACATATTGTTTATGCAAAAACTTCTTAAGGAACCTACAAAATAACTACTGGAATCAATAAGTGAGTTTAGCAAGATCACAGGATACAAAGTTAACATACAAAAAAATTGTATTTTTTATGTGCCAGCAGGATACAACTGGAGAACAATGTGAAAACAATTGTATCTACAATAGCTCAAAAATATAAAATACTGAGCCAGCGCTAATGGCCTAGTGGTTAAAGATTGGCACGTTCCACTCTGGTGGCCGGGGTTCCGTTCCAAGACACTGAACCACACCACTCATCTGTCAGTAGCCATGCTGTCGCGGTGGCTCATGTAGAAGAGCTAGGACTCACAACTGAAATATACAACTATGTACTGGGGCTTTGGGAAGGGGGAAAAATAAAAGAGAGGAAAATTGGCAACAGATGTTAGCTCAGAGCGAATCTTTTAGAAAAAATTACGCATATATATAAAATACCTAAAATAACAATCAAGCAAGACCACATCACGAAAAAACTACAGAATATTTCTGAAAGAAATTATATAGCTAAATAAGTGGAGAGATATACAGCATTCATAGATTAGAAGACAGTATTATTAAAAAGTCAATTCTCTTCCAATTTTTCTGTAGAGTTAAGAAACTTCCAATCATAATTCCAGCAGTCTTTATTATAAATATTGACAAGCCAATTCTAAAATTTATATTAAAATGCAAATAATCTTGAATGCTAAGTCAGTTTACAAAAAAATATGGAGAACTTTTACGACTTGATTTAAAGACTTACTATAAAACTATAATGTTTAAGGCAGTGTAGTATTAACAAAGGAGTGGGCATATAAATCAATGGAATAGTAGAGAAAGGCTAGAAACAGATTTACATATACATGGTCAAATAATTTTTGAAAAGCTGCAAATGCAATTCAGTGAGAAAAGCAAAGTTCTTCAAGAAATGATATTGGAACAACTGGACATCCAAATAGGGAAAAATTAACCTTCACTCCAACTTACACCATACAAAAAAATTAACTCAAAGTGGATCACAGACCTAAATGTAAAATGCAAAACTATAAACCTTTTAGAAGAAAACAGAATAATCTTTGTGATGTTGTTTGACCTTCTGAAACAAGCTTGTAAAAAACCTTCCTTAAAATTTATCAAAATCATATGCCTAAGGAAGGCTATGTGTGACAAAAGGGTACTTCTTTAAAAGATATTGTTTCATCTATCAGACTAGCAAGAATTATGGTACTTGCTGTGAGCCAGAATACGAGGAGATAGGCAATCTCCTACACTAGAAGGAAAAGAAAAAGTGTATATTGTTACTTCCTTTTGCAAAGGTAACACAATAATATAAACAATTTAAATGTTCACGTCCTTTGAGTAAGCAATTCCACTTTTAGGAATTTATTCTGAGGAAACAATCAGATAAGTGCAAAAAACCCAACCACACAATACATACACACACACACACATGAGAATGTTCATTAAAACATTGGCTGAAATAAGGAAAAAAAGTTGGCAGTAACCTATATACTATTTTTGAAAGATATACTATATTTGAAAGCTATTCTAAAGACAAAAACATTCTACTACAAGGAAACTAATCTCCTTAGTGCGCAGTGAAATTGAATTTCACCATCATCAAATAACAGCTGAAAATAAATTGCCAGCAAAATTTGCCAAGACCAAGTTTGCAAGCAATTTTTACAATAGCCTGTTAACTTTGATTTCCACACTGATTTATTATGCGGTTTCATAAACTGAAACTAATTGTATTACACTTCTGTCTTTCCCAATTATTGCAAGTATTTAGTTAATATGTATACACCTAGGATTTTTTAAAATAATGAAGTAACTAGCACTTATAATCTCTACTTCCAAAAAGGCAGCTACAAGCTGCACTGTATTTCATAAATTACAAAAATCTATTTCTTTCGAAAAACTTTGCATAAAGCATGTTGTTGGTTGAGGAATTAACGACTAGATCGTTTAATTGCGCACACCAGGTGTGTTCCCCATGTGGTAACACTGCACTTGAGAGCCAAAAAAAGGAAATAAAAAAGAAAACATTACTCCCCCGGAACCCCCCCCCCCCCCCCCACCATAAGGCCACTTACCTTGATTCTTGCTTTTTCTATAAATTCTAGAGGGGCTTTCCCAATCTCAAATCCAGCTCCAAACCAAGGAATCCAGCCCCTTATGCATGGGGGTCTACTCAAATTCTTCCACTGAAGGAATAATAAAAGAGCAACGCAACCAAGGATTATAATCCCTGCTGGATAAATTAGTTCCATGTTTTTGGATAGCACCTTCTAGAAACAGAGAAGGGAAAAACTCCTGCGGTGGCACTTCTTCCTTTCCTCTGGGATAGGGCACCCACCGGACCTCCCAACCTTTCCGCTGTAACTTCCGCAGCCTGCTCGCCTTCTTAACTGTAGCCTCCTTTCCCTGCCCCAATTTTTAGGTGACTTTCGCAACATCGCTCCCTCCCAACTCCACTTCTCTTTCAATTCCTAGACGCCCGGGACGGTATGATGGGGCGGGACGGAACCAGAGACGGTGCTGAGAGGTGGAGGAGGAAGAACACGCGCTGTTGCCATGGAGATAGGGGGCTGCGCGCGGCTGGCGCCCGGCTCCCGGCCAATCAGATAATGCGGCCGGGAAGGCGCGGAGTCCGGCGGACTACATTTCCCAGAAGCCTCGTGGGCTTCGCGTTGTTTTTCTGTTCTCAGTCGTGGACCACTCAAGCCTGGGCTGTTAGGGAGGCTGCTGGTTCTCCGAGACCCCCTGGCCGAACCGAACAAGGGAAATGGTCCCCGCCCTGCCACTCGTCAGTTGAAGAGTGGCCGCCCTGGCAGGGTGGCAGGCCAGCTGCGGCGCGGGGCGCCGGCCAGAAGGGCTGCATTGTCGTCCTGTCTGTCCTGCTGAATGTCGGTTCCAGAGGATGAGGAGAGGCTTTTGCCGCTCGCCCAGAGATGGCCCCGAGCGAGCAAGTTCCTCCTGTCGGGCTGCGCGGCTACCGTGGCCGAGCTAGGTACCCGGCTGCCCACGCCTGGGCCTCCCTGCGAGTCGTCGAGGCGCCGCGCTGGGGGTGGGGGTCGGGGGAGACTGGCGGCCGCTTCGCTCCCGGGGTGTGCAGCCGCAACGTTGCGCCCTCTTCTCCCACGTCTGTGCGGCAGGCAGATGTGGGGGCAAGGCCAGCTTTGTGAGGAGGAGGGATTGGAGGTCACTAAGGTCTCTTCCTTCCAATTTCTTCTCCCTCAGAGGTGGGCTTTTGTGCCTGGATGTGGACTTTCAGAAGCTTCATGAGCTGTCGTTCCTCTATGGGAGTGAGGATGACCTTTTTAAAACCACAATCCACTTTTCATCCTTCTAATCCAGATAATCTCTGTGATTTATGTTCTTACACAGCTTCATTATATATCATTTGGGGGGGGGGGTTCCAAATTGTGGTCCCAACTTGTGGGACTTGTTATTAATCTATCACTTATTGAGCATCTACTCATCATCTGCCAGTTGACCGCTTTGAGCTTAACTCATCTATATTGTGTTTACTTTGCAGGATTCTGAGAAGTCGTTAATCTGTAAATGCTGAATCCAAGGCAGGGCACCCATTAATTGTAACATTATTTAATTACTACAGTGCTAGGGCCTGTGGGGATACAGTTAAAAAGACCCAGCCCTGACCTTCTGAGAGGCTGGTGAGGAGACATGCAGAGACAGACAATTACATTGTGCTCTTTATTATAATCAAGGTATTATTAAGTATCATAAGAGCGTAGAGGACGGACAGTTTATCTGCCTAAGCAAGTCAGAGAAAACTTAAGAGGCTTACCTAGAGCAGAATTATGATGTTTTTGCACGAGCTGGTGGTGTTTCTTCCAAGGATTTTGTGAGTAGGGTGGCTGTGTGTTCCCTGTGAAGGCTTCACTCTGCATTTTAATATTGCCCTTTCATTTTCTTGACCATTAAAAAGAAAAAAAAAAAGCCACAGCTCCAATGTGTAATCATTTGTAAATGCTAGTTTGTCCTGTTCTAAAATGAGTTTATTTTGCATTTCCAGCAGAGCCAGCACATAATCTGTTGTTTTGCCCTGTGTGCTCCTCCACTCTTGCCTTTTGCACATTCTTTTTCTCTCTCTCCTCCCAAAGCTGAGGAAGAATTTTTATTCATTGTTTTTGCTGAAATATGTCATCAACTTTTTAAAAAGTTTAAAAGCAGACTGCTGAATGATTAGATATATTTCCAGTTTTGTTCTATTTTTTTTAACCTCTTTCCCCCTGTGACCAATGGCTTTTATCAAGGAGGATTCCTTCTATTAAAATTTCATGGAGAATTTTGTGGGGACTGGAAATGGGAGGTGGGTGAATCAAAATAGGAGATGGTTGTGAGTACAAAACAATTTAGTATCAGAACCTGAAGCATTAAGTAACCAGCAAGAAAACCAAACTTATTTCGAGAAGCATAACCTATGCTAATATGGAGGCTCCTATATCTTAAGACTTTTCAGGTTTCATATCTTGATAAAGCATTGCTCGAATTCTCTATTTGAAAACTACTTCTGTTTTAGGAAACTATCAGCAAGATAGTAAGTCTTGCAAAGACCAGTGGTAAGATTTAATATTCTCTTGCCCTGACTCCGTTTTCTCTTGGAAAGGTGTAGCTATGGTTTTGTGTCAGGTAGTGGTCATTGAAAAGACTTATGTAATGTCAGTAATGTTCGCGAACTTGTCTGAATCTGGTTATTTCAGTTATGCGGGACATTGTGTGTATAAAGTATGAGCTTGAACTTCCTTGTGTGGGCCAGTTAGCTTCACTCTGTTTTGAGATAAAATTGTCTATCTCTAATTCAGAATATAATCATTAGAAAAAAATGTTTCAAGTATAGTTGGTACTTGTAAGGAAAGCTTGCATAAAACTTAGCAGTGGTGGGAAAACAACTAAGTCTTTGCCTTAATCGAAAAAATATTGACCATGCCACTCTCTGTATATAAAAGACATTATAAACTCCATATTACATCTTATATTTCAAACATCAGGTCAGTGATTCATGTGCATGTGACTATCACTCATGAAATTATAGAATTCAGCTTCCTCTGGCACTTAATTAAGAACCTACTGTAAGTAGTACAGTATTCTAAAAGTCACACTGGACCTTAAGCATGGTTGCAGTCAAGGGGACATCACAGAATATGGATACCTGAAATTATTCCCATTGGAAAGCAAAAACTAAGGATTAAAGTAGATTTTAGACTGAAATTTCTGAATTAAAAAACCCCAAGGCAGAGCCGGCCCTGTGGCCAAGTGGTAAGTTTGTGTGCTCCACTTCGGCAGCCCAGGGTTTCGCCAGTTCGAATCCTGGACGCAGACATGGCACTGCTCATGCTGAGGCAGTGTCCCACGTAGCATAACCAGAGGTACTCACAACTAGAATCTACAACTGTGTCCTGGGGGGTTTGAGAAGAAGAAAAAAAAGTGAAGAAGATTGGCAACAGATGTTAGCTCAGGTGCCAATCTTTAAAAAAAAAACCCAAAACTCCAAGGCTTGTCACTTTTTTTCGTGGTGATCTGGGGTGCTCTGGCGCAGTGATTCTTAAATTTGGGAGTGCAGAAGAATCAACTGATTTCTAAACCCACATCAACCTACTGAGAATCCATAGGTATGGGGCTAGGAAATCTGTAATCTTAAAAAATTTCCTTAGTTGAATCTGATGTGTTGTAAAATTTGAGAATTACTGATCTTGTGGTGATTAAAATATTAGTCCTATGGTTTTTTATTTGTGTGTTTATTAGCAACCTTTCCCCTCGATCTCACAAAAACTCGACTCCAAATGCAAGGAGAAGCTGCCCTTGCTCGGCTGGGAGACAGTGCAAGAGACTCTGCTCCCTACAGGGGCATGGTGCGCACGGCCCTAGGGATTGTCCAAGAGGAAGGCTTTCGAAAGCTTTGGCAAGGAGTGACTCCCGCCATTTACAGACACATAGGTATTTATCTTGATTCTAGCTGGTAAGTTTGTTGTGAGTTCTGTCTTTGTCTCCTCTGCTTTTCTGTTTAGCTGTATCCAAACACCACCTAGATTTTTCTATGAATGTGATAAATGAATATATAGTTTCTTAAGTAGAAGAAAATTAACTACCAATTGTTATTAAGGAAGTATTGCCTTAAATGTTTAGAAATGCATACAAAAGTATTTAGGGGTGAACTGTCATGATGTCTGTAACGTACTTTAAAATAATTAAGACAAAAAAAGAATGAAGCAAATATGGCAAAAATGTTAGCAATGGATAAATCTCAGTGAGAAATATAGAAGGAGTCATATTATTTTCTCTGCATTTCTGTATGTTTGAAAATTTTCCTAATAAAAAGTTTTTTAAAAGTTTAAGAAACGTACGAATAATTGATGTTTTTCTCCACTTTAGAAACTTTACATGCAAAATTTTAATTTTTCTGTGTTCTTTGAAAATTAAAATATACTTGACCACAATGCCACGTCTCCCCAGTCTCTGTCTTGGTACATTAGAGACCAGGCTATTCTGAAAGAGGGCAGGAATGACTGTCTAACCCACCTCTGGCAGTAGAGGAAAGGCAGTGCTGGTGGGTCGCTCTCAGACTCCCTAACCAGCCATGTGGCTCCTTAGTTAGTCTTAAAGGAAAATAGTTATAACTACACTACAGCCAATAAGAACACTTTTCTGCTCTGCTTCCAGAGTGGCATTCACACAGACAGAAGTTGTTGAGTTTTTAGTTTGTGGACAGGAGAACATAAAGTTGGCTTCAAAAGGAGGTAGGGCTGGTGTAGAATTTGTCTCCTTTATGTTCAGAGTGTTTCCTCAAGTACATAGGGACCCTTGATCAGAAAAGTGCCCAGTACTAATATGTACTGGCTGATTATTTTTAAATCTTCAGTTCTTCAGATGAGTTAGAGTGTTTTCATCAAGAACTATCCAGAAGTGTGCACAATGCCTGTTACTGTCGTGGTAGTTTGTGTGTTTTTGAATATTTAAAATACTTTATCGAACTTCCTGAAATATCAAGAAAAGTTCTCTATACGAATACCATGTACTGATTTTCATGATTTTTATTTTCCATCCTTTTTTTACATTTTCTCCTTTGCTTCCCATGATCATTTTGAGTTTCACTTCTTTTCATTTGTATTTTGTTGACCACTATGTATAGTTCTACAGTTAAAGTTCACTTCATGTTTGAGACTTCACTGAAAAATTACCTTAAAATAATAAATTATCCAGTGAAGTTAAGCATGTTTATTGGATGAAAATGTCTGCTATGTAGCAAGCTCTGTACTAGGGCATATAGAGTAACGAAAACACACAAAACCTGCCTTACAAAGCCCATGATGTGATGGAAAGATGAGCAAGAAATTCAAGTTAATCTCTAATCAATATGATAAATGCCATCTTAGATGTATGCTTGGGTGGTGCTGGGGAAACAGGGGAGAAGCATGGCAGGTGCAGTGTCAGTGTGGAAAACTGGAGGAAAGGTCGGAGAGCACTTTGGAAAACCTGTTCTTTGAGTTGAGTTTTGAAAGACTAGGAGGAGTTAGCAAAGCAGAGAAGGGAGAATCCACTCAAGAAAGACCAGACATGTGAGAAGGCCTGAGGCTTAAAAAAAAAAAGGCATGACACATTCGGAGAAACATCAAGAAGCCCACGTGTCAGAAGCACAGGGTGCATGAGAGAAACACACAGCTGGAGAGACTGACTGGTCAGGTCAGAGTGTCCTCTCGTTTTGTTAAACAGATAGCTGAGTTCACCTTTGTACTAATCTGTTTACACAGTGTACTCTGGAGGTCGAATGGTCACATATGAACATCTCCGTGAAGTCGTGTTTGGCAAAACTGAAGATAAGCATTATCCCCTTTGGTGAGTTTTGTTTTGAAAATAATATATGATTGCCCCTAAGGCCCTGATGTTTATCTATTAGATTTGTATAAAATAGTAAATAATTGCAATATAAGTCTAAATAATTGAGCAGCTTCTGCACAATTTATACAAACATACATGTACCTATGCATATTAAATTGTGTATGTTTATATATATTATTTAATACTTTAATATTAAAAGAATTCTTAAAGAGCAACTTCTTTTTTCCTCCTCCTACTGAGAAATCCCGGGCTTTAGAGTCACACAGAAATTGGCTCAAATTCCTGCTTGGCTACTGTGCAGTCTAGTTAAACCACTTCACCTTTTTTTGTCTTCAGCTTTCTTAGCTGTAGAAGTAATATCTACCATCAGGCTTTTGTTTTTGTGGGATTAGATGAAATGATGAATGTAAGTGCATACCACTTATAACATATGTAACAGAAACAGAGAAAAATAGGTTGTTATAAAGAATACACATAGAACTCCTATAAACCAATAAAACATATATAAAGAACACAAAGGAAAAATGGGGAAAGAATATCAATAGGCAATTCACAAAAGAAAAAATACAGATGTTCATTAAACATATAAAAATGTTCAACCTTACCAGTAATCAGGGAAATTAATTAAAATTATCTTTTAGACATTAAACTGTTAATGAGAATGTAAATTACTATAGCCTTTTGGAGAATAAAGTTCCTGTTAAAATTTTTTAATGTGTGATCCTTTGACCCAGAAACTCCTCCTTTATGATTATAATCATTCAGAAATACTTGTACCTGTGCATGAAGAAACACACGCAAAGATATTGACTGTAGGAGTGTTGTTAATAGCAAAATTTTTTTTAATTTAAATATCAATTTGGAAGTAGTTAAATAAATTATGATATATTTATACAGGGACACATAACACAGCTTTGAAAGAATGAGGTAGGTTTTATATGACTAACATATAAAGATGTCTGTAGTATGTTTTCTGTGCTAAAAAATTCCAAGCCACAACTATGAAAAAAAATGCAATAAGCAGAATTTCACCTTGCGGGCAAAATGTCTTGGCCCTGTTTTTTAAAAATTGTAATGTACTAAGTTATACTAATTGCTTTCCTGGAGTTAATGATGGAATAGACTAACAGTCTTTGCGTTTTGTAATTCCCTCCAGAAGGGAAAGGTACAGGTAACGAGTTCAAAGGAAATATTTCACTATGGAGTCACCTCTCAGGGTAGACTGGCTTGATGTCCTTTGACCCACTCAGAACCATCCATTCAGTGAATAGTGTTTATTGAATGATTATGGCGTGCCAGTCCAGTACTTAGTACTGAGGCTGTAGTAATGAAAAAGACATGGTCCCTGCCATCACTGAGCTCACAGTAATATAGGCAGATGCCTAAACAATTAGAATTATGTAACACTTACAGAGGAAGTAGTGGTTATAAAGTTCTGAGAGAGAAAACACAATGATAATGTCCTGTGCTCATCATCGTGAGGAGAGACAGGCACACCCTCCTATGTTGTAGGGGGAGTGTGAACTGATGCAAGTTCTTTGGAAAGCAGTTAGGCAGGATCTATCAAATGTCATGTAAATGTTCAGATTTCTTAGTGAGAAGTTATGCCAGCTCTATAAATTATGGTGTATCCATAAAATGGAATGCTATGAAACTATTTTTCAAAATGAGACAGCTCTACGTGAGCTGATAGGGGTAAGCTTTAAGATATGCTCTTAGGGAAAAGATTGAAGTGCAGAACTGTATACAACCTGGTGTTCTACATTTGTGCTTTTAAAAAGGAATATTTAGACACACACGTTTGTGTGTGCACAAACTATCGATTGTAACTTAGTATTTAAGACTGTGGGTGGTGCATTCAGACTCCTGGGGTTACATCTTGGCTGCTGTACCACTCACTAGTTGTGTGATTTGAGCTGTCATTTAACCACTTTATGCTTCAGTTTCCTCATCTATAAAAAGGAAATAACAACCGTACTAATGTCAGGGTTGACATGAGAATTAAATGATATTTTTTAAAATGCTTAAAACGTGTCAGTGCCTGACATAAACTCAGTGAATGCTTATTATTATCTCTACAAAGGCATAAGAAACTAGTCCCTGTGGTTGCTTCAGAGGGGAGCAAACTGGGGAGAGGGACCCTTTTTACTCCATACCCCTTTGTACCTCTTCAAGTATTGTTTTAGAGTAAAAAGAACGAAAATGCCCCTTTTGCCCCAAGAGACTATGGGAATAATCGAGTTAAGAGATTGGAGCTGGCCTGAGACAAGAGCAGCTGGGAAGGAGAGAAAAGGATGGATTCAAAGCATGTTTAAATAGAAGAGTCAAAACTTGACCACCGTTGGCTCTGGGAGATGAGGAGAAGGAAGAGTCTAGAGACAGAAAGAGTTTCTTCAAAGAGAGGAAAGTTTTCAAACTCCCTTTTTTGAAAATTACTAAAATAGTAGTTTATAAAATTTTACTTACCAGCCTTTGTCTGTTAGACTGATTATTACATCTATGCTGTTTTCATCCCCATGTGGTCAGAATTAAACTGCAATTAAATTACCAGTTCAGATGTTTGTATCTTTGAAGCTACTGCCCTTGGTTTGAATTTCAGGCCGTGTTAGCCCCTGAAACTTCAGATTTTAATTTCAGCTCTCTGTGGACTTTTAACCTTCCCATCAGTAAACAGACAAGCCATCTACTTTCCTCTCGGATTTTTTTTGGATCTGTCCTTTTCTTCACTTTGTCCTAATCTCTTATGCAGGGCTATACCAGCTCGGTACTGTTTGCTACAAAATTTGTGAAATTAATGGTAACCTTTAAAAAGTGTATCTCCTTTTACAATTAGGAAATCAGTGATTGGAGGGATGATGGCTGGTGTTGTTGGCCAATTTTTAGCCAACCCAACTGACCTAGTAAAGGTTCAGATGCAAATGGAAGGAAAAAGGAAACTTGAAGGAAAACCGCTGCGGTAAGATCTCCATTTAACTGGGACCTTTCCTTTCCCCTTTGCCACCACCTTGTTTTGAACATTTACCTAGTGACTTATGCACTTTTTGTAATCCAACATTCAGTAAAACCGAGACATTAATTCTGCCTTTTAATTCAGAAGTTATATTCATTATGAGGAGAGCTGAGATAGCCCTTTTCTTTGCAGGATAAGGTGCACATGTTCTCTGCCAGACAAATCGTACGTGTGCATAGCTCTTTGCTGCTTTTCCCAGCCAAGGCAGCTAGACTGGTCTTCTGTTACAGCTTGACATAAAGAAGGTGACAGTTAAAAATTGCCCGTGTGTGAATCCCAATTTTGCCGTTGTGGCTTGGTGTTGTGGAAGTCACTTAACATTTCTAGTCTCTGTTTCTTCATCTTTAAAAGAAGCCATTCAAAAGCTTTGCATGACAGTTAGACTGCTTGGCTCATAAGCTGCCTAAAAGCTTTCCCTTTTTCCCTGCAGGAAAAATAGCAAGGAAGGAAAATAGCAAGGTTGACCTTAAAAATTGTTACCACTCCCTGTCTGATCCCACTCCTCCTCTTTTTCCCAAATTTAAGGACTTTTTTTTTTAAAATCATGACTTTGTGATATGAAAGCCTCCTGTTGCATTACCTTATATTATCAAAGTCTGCCTGTCTTCAAAGGGCTTCACGTCCAACAATTTATTAAAATACTGCTTAGCCAGTTTTGCCTGGGAAAGGGGCAAAATCTCGCAGATAGATAGACTCTCCCAGGAAAGAGGAAAAGTACAGGATGCTCTGAGCTAAGTACAAAGGATCTGCGGCTCTGAACACTGCAGGTGTGCTGCTGGCCGGAGGGGTGGGGGAGTTTGGGGCCTCCTTTGGGAGCTCACCACAGACTGCTGCTCCTCTAGCTGACTCAGTGGAAAATGAGGTTGGGCTGTGGCAGTCAGGGCTCCCCTGCAGCCTTTGAAACAGGGAGAGAATGTGCACCACAGAGGAGAAAAGGGTATCACTCTGTCTGAGCAAGTAGGTTACGGAATCCCAGGGTCCATTTTGTCATCTCGTAACAACTTCTAGTTACTAAGTAGCAGGGAGAAGTGATGTTGCCCTGGTTGGATACATGGAGAGAACTAACTATTGGGACCTAGAAATATCTGAGCTTTTAACTGATCACCTTCATTTTTCCCCCTCTCTTTGTCTCTAATGTTGGAAATTTTTGGTTTGATGTAGTAGTAAAAAACATTTACTGTTGTTGTAAAGAACATGAACCTTGAGATCAGACAACCTTGGATTCAAATCCAGCCCCGACCACATTTTAGCTCTGTAACCCTAGTCAAGTTCCTAAACACTCTAAGCCTCAGTTTCAGATGTAAATTGGAATAACAATTCACACTTCACAGAGCTTTCAGGACTAAATTGTATCTTACATATATAAAAAGTTTGGCATTTAATAAGTGCACAATAAATTTTAGCTACAGTGACCATCTTTTATAAGCATAACTTCCCATGTAGCATAGTAACAATAATGCATGCCCAATAAATGTGTCATATTATCTTTTTGGAGAGACTGAGAGAGCATAATGCCTGAGTAAAAGCTACACAGCTACTAAGTGGTAAAGATGACATTTGACTCCAGGTATTTCTGACTATATAAAACCCAGACTTTTAGGGCTGGCCCTGTGGCCTAGTGGTTAAGTTCAGCATGCTCCACTTCAGCAGCCCAGGTTCATGGGTACAGATCCCAGGCACAGACCTACACCACTTGTCAGCTATGCTGTGGCAGTGACCCATATAGATAAGTAGAGGAAGATTGGCTCAGATGTTAACTCAGGGCTAATCTTCCTCAGCAAAAACAAAATGAAAAAAACCCAGAGCTTTATTTTATACCAGAGGTTTCCAGATTTGGCTCGTGATTCAGCACCATTTCTTATCTGTGTACAGAAAAATAAGGATAAGATAGTAAACTTTCTTAAGCCAAAAGTATTCAATTTTAAGAACTCTTATTATGAGATTCTCTTTCCTACTTTTTGGTCTAAAAATAGTTCTTTTTTGAGACTATGTGAGTATCAATGTTTTTTAATGTTGTTGTTTGGTGAAATTACACAATTTGCCAGTCTCCCATGATACTAGTAAATTGAACTCAGTTATCTGATGATTACTGTTCCCTCGTTTAGTTAATATTTGCACCGATGATGTAAAATGTCAAGAAAGGAGTTTTAATCTGTTCAATAACCTGAGAGGATAAGAAGATGACATAGTTTATAAAGATTTCCATAAAAAAATGCTTAAATCAAATGTTGGCCTTTTTTCTAAAGGATTATTAAATTTACCTGGAAATTAGACGTATGTGGATTGCTTCAATTAATAACAATTCTGGATAAACATGTTATTTTACTTCAGATCCTAACAGCTATAGGTGAAGCTTGTCCAATTGCATTCCATATACAGGAATGCATAGAGTTTTCACATTTCATTGTTATTTTCCTTAGATTTCGTGGCGTGCATCATGCATTTGCAAAAATCTTAGCTGAAGGAGGAATACGTGGGCTTTGGGCAGGCTGGGTACCCAATATACAAAGAGCAGCGCTGGTGAATATGGGAGGTAATGGAAACTTTATTGAATTCTGAGAAGTCCTAATTGCCTTAATCATAATTCTAAGCACCTATATCAGGGAAAATGAAAATTTTTGTTGTTTTTAATATTATAAACTGCTGAGTCTTCCTTTATGTTGTAATATCACAATTGAATATTTTCCCTAGAGCATTTTCCTTTATTCTGTGCCTGCACATACCAAACCATTCTTCATCTCAGTATACTCTGTCCTCACCCTCTTCTTCTGTTTAGTTTTCTTCTGCAGATCTTTTAATACTCAGCTAAAGTGTCTTCTCCATCAGTGTATTTTTGCTGAACTTCCCACAACCACCCCTCCCTAGTCATGTTGTGTTAGATGCCCTTTTATGTGTTTCTGGGGTTCTCTGTGCTTATCCTTGTTATTGCTTGTACCTCATTTCATTGCCTTCTCCTCCACTAGATTGTGAGCCCCCTGAAGGCAGGGACTGTGTCTTATTGATCTTTATTTTCCCAGTCCCTCGTACATAGTCAATAGACATTTGATGAATGAATTAATGAATGAAAGAGTCCTCTCTAAGACTAAAATTATATGATTCTAAGAAATTAGCATTTTTGAGGGTTATAGTAATATGTCACTTAAACATAAAAGGAAGTAAATTTATTTTCTGTTTTGCTATTTCAGTCCATCCATGTCCACTGCATCATATTGGCAGGTATTTCAATTGTCAGGAAACTTTTCTGATTGTAGTTTCTCATTCATTGCTTCAAAATCTGTTGCAGCTCAGATTTTCTTACCTAAGTTCCAGCTATTTACTCAGCATCTTCATTTGGTTATTTGAAATATATTGCTTTGAATGTGTCCAAACCAAACTCATTTATCAAACCACTTCTTTCTCTGTTCTTCCCAGTCTCAAAGCATGATATCACCATTTTGTCATTGGGACAACCCAGAAACCTAGGCGTGATTTTCATCTCTTTCCTTTCACTTACTCTTTATAGCCAATCAGTCACCAAGTCCAGCCGATTCTATCTCCCGGGTATATGTCAAATTCGTCTACTTCTCTTCATCCCTGGAGCCACTCCTTCCTCCAAGTGTTATCTATCTCCTCTTGCTGGACCACTACAAAAGCCTCCTAACTCGTCTCCCCATATGTACCCCACAGCCGTTTTGTCCCACTGTGCCTCTGAAACTGCTCTTATCAAGGTCACCAGGGCCTACCATTTTATTTAAAAATTTTTTAAATTAGTCAATTCTTATTTTCACCATCTCCATAAATGGCAGCTCTGTCCTTCCAATTGTTCAAACTCAAAACCTTCAACTCATCTTTGATTCCTTTCTTTCGCTCCATGTTCAATCTGCTGGCTAATCCTGTTCCTTCTGCCTTCAAAACGTAACGAGAATCTGACCAGCGCTCCACAGCAACCTGTCCAAGCATCCTCATCTCTCACCAGAATGGCTGCAGCAGTCTCCAGCCCATCTGCCTTGCCTCCCTGTAGTCTGCTCCAAACACAACAGCCAGAGTGATCCTTGTCAGAGTAACAAGGCCAGTCCCTCCTGCTCAGAAGCCTCCCCCGGCTCGGCTCTTCTTCTCCATCTCTGACCCTTGCTGGCTCTGCTTTTGTTAGACCAGTCTTCTGGCTGTTCCCCCAACATACCGAGATGACTTTTGCCTCAGGGTTGTAATGCACACTGCCCTTTGGCCTGGGACACTTTCTCTGCAATATCTGCCAAGGTTTGTTTTCTCAGGCTTGCTTTAGGTCTCTGCTCAAAAGTTATCGAGAGGCCTTCCCTGGTCACCCTTTTTAAAATTCATGTATACCCATCTTCCCACCCTCTGTTACTCCCTATCCCCTTCCCTTGCCTTATTTGTTTTCAGGGCAGTTACTCCCATCTGAAATGCCATGTGGTTTACTTGTTTATTGTCTCACTCTCAACAGAGAATGGGGATTTTGTTCATTTTGTCCATGGCTCTTTCCCAAGTGTGTGGAATAATGCCTACTACACGATGGACACTCAAATATATGGTGAATGATCAAATCTACCTGTCCATTCTTGCCTCTTTACAATTCACTTCCCTATATTTCAGTGTTGGTCATCTTTATAAAACTCCAGTATTGTGATATATCACTCCCCTATTTAAAACTCTTCAACAGCTCTCATTGTCATTAGAAAAAAGTATAAAAACCTTAGTGTAGAAAAGTTGTCAGGACCTTTTGTCTATAAGTGACAGAAGCTTAACTCAACCTAACTCAGACTGAAAAAGGAATTTACCAGCTCTATTACTGAGAAGCCCAGGGGTTGGGCCGACTTTAGGCATAGCTGCGTTCAGATGTTCCAATGATATAATTGAGTGTCTGTCTCTCTTCCTCTTTTCCTCCCCCTCCATCTGTGGCTCTGCTCTCCTCTGCTTGAGAACAAGAATGATATCTTTCATCCTTGTGCACATTCCTGCTCCAAGCCTAGCATATTCTTGTCACAAGACATTCATTGTTGAATGAATGAATATTTAAGCCTTCTTTTTCTTTCTGTTGCCAGATTTAACCACTTATGATACAGTGAAACACTACTTGGTATTGAATACACCACTCGAGGACAATATCATGACTCATGGTTTATCAAGGTAAGTGATTGTTTTAGTTTAACTCTTTCTTTTTTTTTCTTTCTATATCATCTTTTCTTCCGTATTTGGCATAAATTCTAACTTTTTGTCTCTTTTGATTGGGAATCTAGTGATATCATGCTTAGAGAAAGGTGATAGTACATTTATAAAGAGGAACTTTCTTAAAGTTTGTTGCAGTTAAAATGGGGAAGAAAGGGACAGAGCTGCAGAATGTTTCAGATTCAATCTCCCTAAATATTTGTACCTTGATGGGGCCATCCCAGGGTCAGATTCTGATGATCGCTTCTCCAACTCAGTTCAGCAGATATGTTTGAGCATCTTTCATGTTAATGGCACTGTGCAAGGCCCTGCAGTAGGTACAAAAGGTAAACCCAACTCCTTCCTGGGGAATTTACCAAGCGGGAAAACAAAACAAGTATAAAAACACTGTACAGTAAATGCCCAAAGAAAGTGACTAGTTCCTGTAGAGTTCAGAGGAGGTATTAAAAATAATCACTTGGAAGGCCTACGGAGGAGACGGAATTAGGTGTTTTGAAGGGCTGTGGCTCTTGACAGAAAGAGACAGGAAGAAGAGCATCTCAGGGAGAAGCAGTACCTTAATCTCTTTGCAACACAATTTCAGATTATCCATTCGAGTGAGTTACTTCATCGATATCTAGTGTCCTTAACATTATTGTGGTTTTATTTAGCTTCTGATCTCGTTTCCAAATTCTAGAACGCTTTATGCTGTTTAGACAATCCCAAAAGTATATTAATAGTGTCAAATCAATGATATTTGGAAACATATAGATATAAAAGATTCCTAACTTCAGGTTCACCTTAACTTAATATTTCTAGAGTAGTTTTTCTCCATTCCTACTCTTTTAAAATAAGTGTTGTCTTCAGTGCTGCTGGAGCGATCTTTTTATAGTCTTTGCTCACCGCCCTTTCCCATTCCAAACACTTACCAGGTGTGTTTATAAGCTACACCAGTCTTTCTCTAGCCAAAAGCCTGGCCTCCCCTTTCAGTGAGAAAACTGAAGATTTTAGGCCTCCTTCCATTTTTTACCTCCTTCCCTATAAACATTAGTGTTATCTCTGTACCTACCCTTACCTTCTTTCCTCCACTATCTTTGTTCATGCTCTTTGCTCTTCCTGTGAGACTTTCCTCCCCGGTTTTCACCCAGTCAAGTCATCTTGTGAGACATTCTCATCTTTCAAGACGCTTGTCTGTTCCAGTGTTATGATCTACTCTGGGAGCAGGATATTCAGGCCCATCCAGTAGTCGCACAGTGATATTACCTCTGTTTCTTTTTCATTGTCTTTCTACCCAAATGTTCTTTGAAATGCCACAGTTCTAACCTAAGATTCCTGGCAGATGTAAATCTGCCCAATGTACACTACTCCACCTAATAGATCTGTCTTTTTTTTTAAAGATGTAGGATTTCCCATCACTATATTCCAGCCCTTATTGGAAATAACTTAGTCTTATTGCTCTCTAACTCAGGTTTTGAGAAAATGGGATGATTGGACTTTGGTTCATTTTTGAGCACCACCACTGAATCAGGTGTTAAAATGGGTCAGTTTGAGTATGTGTGGTATACGAGGCAGCTCAAAAGTGGCTAACCATGAACTCAAATCTAAGTGATAATGTAAAGATGTCAGTAGACAGTGCTGTGTGCCCTGGAGGTTCTGGATGCTGGGGCCTAAGATAAAACGGATGCTCATGGAGGCTTGAAGGGGACTGCAGCCGTCCAATCAGAGAGCTTTATATGACTCTCAACATCTGAGGAAAAATGAGTTTGATATGAAGAAGAAGAATAAAAATGGTATAAGCACTGATCTGTACACATAAGGTAGTTAAAATGGTAAATTGTGTGCTATGTGTATTTTACAATTAAAAAAAATGATAGAAGTAGAGTGAAGTCCTGCGGCAGAGCAGGAGCAGTAGGGGACTGACCAGGAGTTTAGTGGGATGGGAGGCAGGTGGCAGGGACGTTAATAAGGGAAGCAGAGGAAAGGTGAGGAGTTGCATTAATGGTCAGGAAATGAGACAGAACAGAAAGATCAGGATAATCCCCTTTTTCTTTTTAAATCATGAGGCTATTAAGAGGTAAAACTGTGCAAAAGGTTCATTTACATTGTGCGAAGATGATCCATGAGCGTGATTATTTAGTTGATCCTGAAGAGCATCGCTGATTCCTACACATTGCTGGCGGAATGTTTGAAACCAGTCTTGCAGCTAGCCATTTGGTCCCCCGCAGAGAACTGAAGACTTGCACGATCACTCTCTGTCCGTTATCACTTTAGCTGTGTCCTGGGCTTCATTGTGGGGTGTTACTAGCCAGGAGCGAGAAAAGTCAATAGCAAAAAGCAGCAACATCCACTACAACCCCAGCAGCTTGGCAAAATCCATGATACTTTTATTTCTCCATCTTCTCACTTTGGCTCTATATACCATCTTGCTTGAGGTCTCCTTGATACATTATTTGCTCTCTTTTAATATTTATTTTTTAAAGAAGTCTAGCCAGTTCACACTATGTCCTCAAAACAATTTGATGAGAAGATGAGGCCATTGGCAGTTGCATCCTAAAGTCTTTGTGTGCCATGTGGGGCCCACAGCTGCTGAAGGGCGTCCTTGATGTGGTTAGGATACAGCTTAAAAAAAATTCTCTAGAGCCAGCCCTGATGGTCTAGTAGTTAAAGTTCAGTGCCATCACTGCTTCAGCGGGCTGGGGTTCGCTTCCTTGTCACAGAACAATAGCACCCATCTGTCAGTTGCCATGCAGTGGTGGCAGCTCACATAGAAGAGCTAGAAGGACTTTCAACCAAGATATACAACCATGCACTGGGGCTTTGGGGAGGAAAAAAAAAAAAGAAGTTTGGCAACAGACATTAGCTCAGGGCGAATCTTTCCCTGCAAAAAAAAAAAAAAAAAAAAAAAATCTCTGCTAGCCCATTGTGAGGGATACCCACATTTTAAACATAGAATTCATTAATAGTAACACTCTGGTAGAAGTAGTTTCTACTCTTGCCACTTATGTGTGAAGCTGAGCTGGTACCTGGCCTCTCTGATGCAAATGAATAAGTAAAAATTTGGTGTGTCCTTCTTTTGGACAAAGAGAGGAAAGCTGTGTAACTGTTTCTATCCTATTTCTTTGCTCTCCCTTACCTCTTGATTATGTTGTTTTGTATGTTGTTTCTGGTAGATAGTTTGAGAATTTAGGTGAATTATATGTTAGTTGAGACATTTCTGTGTGAAAATATGAAGTTGTATTAAAATCAGTGATATAAAAATTCAACTTTGAAAGAATCTGGACAAACAGGAAAGAAGATAAAAAGAGCAGTAGTCTGGGGGCTGGCCCCGTGGCCGAGTGGTTAAGTTCGCGTGCTCCGCTGCAGGCGGCCCAGTGTTTCGTCGGTTCGAATCCTGGGCGCGGACATGGCACTGCTCGTCAGACCACGCTGAGGCAGCGTCCCGCATGCCACAACTAGAGGAACCCACAACGAAGAATACACAACTATGTACCGGGGGGCGTTGGGGAGAAAAAGGAAAAAATGAAATCTTAAAAAAAAAATAAATAAAAAAATAAAAAGAGCAGTAGTCTGCATCTACTGGAATATATATGGGGAAACAATAAGTTCTTTCCACATAGCCAATGCCTATTATGTGGACAGAGACCCAAGAAGAGTTACGCACAGTTGAGTCATTTGCTGGAATATGTAAATAGGTTACATGGGTTCCATCTCTTGAATTCAAATAGTTGTAATGTGATTACCCCTTTGAATTTTAAATCCTGACCCCAAAGAGGTGGAAGGAGCCAGGGTGCTTCCTGCTACAGCAGTTTAGAGAAAGAGTATGAAAATTCCTAGTGCAGTTCAACTTCCTATCACAGAGCCTTCGGAGACTTCACAAATCCTGGCACAGAATTCAGTGGTGCTCATTTTTGTGAGGTGTTTGATGTGCCATAAGGACATAAAAGTTCTCCACGATGTTCCTTTCTAGCTTTCCACTAGCCAAACATAAGCTGTTCTTCAGACTCTCGTGACCCGAGTCTGTGGACTCAGCTGCCAGCTTCTGGGACCTGGACTCAGCCTTCTATTTTCCAGTGATAGAGTTTGACCACAATCTTCTCATCACATCTTTCTCCTGGAAAAGTTTAAAGCAGTTAATGGGTTTTCAGTTTATGAAATTTTGATCACGTTCCAATATTGTCTCTCTCATGTCCACATATACAATGAACTGCTGGTGATTTCTTAACTTTTCAGTTACTCATTGACAAAATCTTGATTTACTCTGCAGTAGGTTGACTGCATCCATTTTGCCTGTTTTGAGTATTTGCAAGAAGCCTTTTTCAAGGAGTGATTAACCTTGTTGGGTAAAGAAAGAAGGGATAAGCAGAAACTCATCAAACCTTACACCTGAGCATAGATTGAAGGAAAAACAGGAATTTTCCAATTAGATGGCATGCAGGACATTCCAAGTGGAAGAATTACAGGCATGGAGGTGCTGCCCAGTGTGGTAAGTACAGAGACCTACCCTTAGTTGTACTGTTAGAGCCTAAGGGACAAAGAGAGATGCAGTCTTGGAGTGATGTGTATGACATGGCCGGAAGTATGAGCTAAATCTGATCATAGGGAATGAGCCCTGGGTGGTTTTAGGTAGGAAAAATGACAAAACTAGACTTGTATTTTAGAAAGACCTTTTAGGATGGAGAGAAGAAGATAAGGTCGTAATATTCAAATGGAATAGCTTAGTGAAGTGAGGCTTAAACAGTGGCCAGAGTGAATTTTTTGTTAACTGTTGACCAAATTATGCGATTGCCCCTGCTTAATGTCCTCTCAATAACTTCTCTTCACATCTGGAATAAAATCAAACTCCTTAAATAGCCTTCCTGGGCTAATCTCTGCCTGCTTCTTTGTCTTTCATCTGGCTGGACTCTCCCTTCTTCAGGATGCTGCTTTCTGTCTTTTAAGCACACCAAGTGTGTTCCTGACTCAGGGCTTTTAATGTGCTCTTCCTTCTACTTGAAACACTCTTCCTCCAGGTCTTCACATGGACGCTTCCTTCTCACCAGTCAGGTCTCAGTTCTGCTGTCACCCTGACAGGCTTTCTTTAACTGTCTGTCACCCAGCTACTCCCTATCACTTTACCCCTTTTAATTTTTTTCAAAGCAGTTACCAGCATCTGAAATTTTTCATTTCTCCTCTGCCTCTCCCCAAGAAGAGTGTAAGTACCTTTGTGGGAAGGATCTTATCTGTCTTATTTGCTGCCTAGAAGAGTGCCTGGCACCAGTAGGTGTTCAATGTCATTCTTTTTGTTTTAATTTTTTGTACCTCTTTAAGGAATTACTTTAGCATTGATTTTAAGCTAAAAGAGCATTATTATGAAGAATATGCTTGTAATATATTTGGCATTCCATTCTTTCTCAATATCAAATTCTCTTGATGTAAGATTTAGAAACTGCTACATATTATCTTTCAACTTTATTTATTTGTATCTATAGTTTATGTTCTGGACTGGTAGCTTCTATTCTGGGAACACCAGCCGATGTCATCAAAAGCCGAATCATGAATCAACCACGAGATAAACAAGGAAGGTAGATAGACAGTCTTCCTTATGCATGTGTTTGAAAGTCTGTAATAATATTGTCCTTTAGAGACACTTCCCTGTATTTATTCTTGGTAGAAATCGATTTGTGTGTTTATGTGTTGAACCAGGAAATTGTTTTTATGCAATTACCTGCTCTTTGTCTGATGGAAAAGTACTGTGCATTTAGGGAAATAAGCTAATTTAACCATCATGTTATTTAGACACAAGGTGTTTATTGTGACTTTATTGTTTCCGAAGAGTTTTTGAAAACATACTGTGCTGAGAATTTACAGAGCACTTTCTTCAGAAGCTTGTGACTTCCAGGAAACATGGAGAATTTGATTTCATATAAAACAGATGTTCTCTCTGGAGGATTCCAGGTGGAGTGAATTCTAAGTACAAGACCAAGGGTGGGGTGGATCAAAAGAGTCGACTTTGAAAATATCTTTAAACTTAAGAGGTGATCTATATATACAGAAGCACAAATGTTATCTGTTCTAAACTAGCAGAAAATATTTAACTTATCAGCAGTTTCCTTAAGGTTATTTTTTATTTGTATTTTATTTATACATCTATTTATGCGCAGGAAATTTAACACCATTGTTTTGCTTCCTTTTTAGGGGACTTCTGTATAAATCATCAACTGACTGCTTGATTCAGGCTGTGCAAGGAGAAGGATTCATGAGTCTATATAAAGGCTTTTTACCATCTTGGCTGCGAATGGTAAAATTAGGTTTTTCCTTCCTTGGTTTTTGTTTTCTTTGTACTTAAATTACTTTTAATCTGTAAATATTTTCCCTTTTCTCTTCTGCTGTTTGGCATGGCCCTGCCCCCAAACCACAGTTCTTTCTTTCTTTTTTATATCTCTTTTTGTTTTCTTTTACCTCTCCTCAGAGTCATATTACCTTCCTTGGCGGATTAAGGTAAAATAATTCAGTTTCATCCAGAAATGAACGGGTTGATATTCTGTTGTTACAAAACCAGTGGGTAGATTTTCTGCAGTGTAAAATTTTTAGTAGTCTATTTAGCCAAAATATTGTAGTTGGGGAGAGGTATACAGATTTTATACCAGAGACCATCCCTATGAAAATGTTACTGTTTCAAACAAAATCTACATTAATGGCAAATGTTGCATTACTAGTTAATACTTATTACCACAAAGCTCTGCTTAGTGTGAAAACATTATGTCATTTTTATTTGGTTTGTATGTTATTTTTTACTGAAGTGAACTAAGATGTAGAATTAGATAGACTTATTTAAGTAACATAAATAAATAAAAATAAGATACTCAAGTATTTTGTAAGTTAGAAAATATTTGAGAGAATGAATGAGTTATAGGTCTGGATTCAAACAATCGATACTTTACACAATATAATATAGTAATATTTACTGAACACCCACTCTATGCAGAGCCCTGTACTAAATGCCTGGCTCTGGGGTGAACAGAAGAGTCGCAGCTGCTGCACTGGTGCTGGAGCCTCTGGTCTGGGTGAGGGGAAAACACTGAGCAAGAAAGTAGAAGGATGAATGGTAGGGAAAAGTGCATGCTGCTCTGGAAAGATATAGCAAGTAAGTGCATCCTAGGCTGGGAGATGAAGAAAATCTTCATGGAGGAATGGACTTTTGAATTTAAATTTGAAGAATGAGTAGAACTTAGCCAGGTGAAAAGGGCAGAAAGAAACATTCTACATGGAGAGAATAGTTGGAGTGGACATGGAATATGATGAGTTCAAGGAACTGAAGGAAGCCTAGAGGGCCAAGGCATAGAGACCTGGAGGAGAGCAGCACAGGGTGAGGCCAGACAGAGGCAGGGCCCAGATCCAGCAGGGCCCTGGGACCCATAAGATGGAGGGGCACTGACTTGATGACACGTGTGTTCTTTGAAAGATCATTCTGGCTGCCAGGCGGGTTGGAAAAACTTCAAGAGTACTGACAGAGGAGAGACCATGATAGCCTGGGTTAGAATGTAACAGTGGGGACAGAAGAATATAGATTCAGAAGTATTTAGGAGACAGAGATAGAAACATGACTGGGAGTGGGAAGTGGTTAGAGAAGACAAGGAGAAGTCATTCCCAGATTCCTCACCTAAGCAACCGATGATGTAATTTCCTAAAATGGGGATCATTTGCAGGGAAGATGTTGTAGACTCAGAGTGACAAATTAGTTTCACATATGTTAATTTTTGGATGCTCATAGGACATCTAAGCAGAGATGTCTAGATGACTAGCTTAATATATCAGTCTGCATCTTTGAAAGACTAATGAGATGGCGATTTAGATTTTAGTACTGTCCATATATAGATGGTAATAAATAAATTTGTTTGAGAATCAGTGACATCACCCAGGGATAGTAGATATCTATTAACATGAAATTAATAGCCAAAGTCCTTGGCAATATCTGATACAAAAGTGTACCCAAGTTATAAAACATTATTTTGATTGTCTTGATTATAGCTTGACATTGTCTCAAGTCTGTGGATATTTCTTACTGGAAAGGAAGATTTTGATTTGGCTTGCATGAACCAGGCACTATTGTAAGTGCTGATACCACTAGGCAATAAAATGGAGTTTATTTTTGCACTAGATAAGCTTATAATGTGATGGAGAAGATAGATATGTAGGTAGTTATAATTACAGCAATAATAAAGCTAATGTTGCTGATGCACTTGGTATATGGCCAACACTGTGCTAATCATTTTTATGGCTTAACTCATTGAATCCTCCCAACAATCTTTTTTAGTAGGTTACTATCCTATCTGTCTTTTATAGAGGAGGACACAAAAGCTTAAAGAGTTTAAATAACTAGGCCAGGCTAGGTAGTTATGAACTAATGGAGTTGGGCATCCGACCCAGGGAGTCTGACTCCAGAGGACATAGTCTCACTAAGGAGGTTGTATTAGGGCCCTGCCAGAGGTGTGAACAAAACACCGTGGGAACATGGACAGTAGAGTAAAAATGGCTTTAGCTGTTGGGAAGAAACAAGGCTTCACAGAGGCGGTATTTGATAGGAGCTTTGAAGGATCAGTAGGCATTTGTCAAGAAAAGCAGGAGGGAGCAACATGAGCCTAGGCATCAGGTCAGGTGCATATTTGGAGACCTGCAGAAAATTCAGTGTGGCTGGAGAATAGATCCTCAGAGGGTGAGAATCCTGGGGAAGTACTTAAGGACTACATTGAGAAGGACCTCGTGGGGGGCATTTAGTAGTTTAGGTGTAACCCTATAGTGAGCCAGCAGCTGCTTAACCATGGGAGCGATGTGCTAAGATTTGTTTCGGGACAGGATTACTTCAGCAACAATACAGAAGATACATTAAAAGCTAGGATACAAGAAAGGAAGTTTTGGCAGTGGTCTAGCCAGGAGATGCTTGTAGACGTGGAGAGAAGACAGCTTCTAGGAACAGTGATGGTTAACTCGACAGGACTGAGTAACTGATTCTGTGTATAAGGTGAGGGAGGGAAAGAAGGAAATGGGACTTTTAAGTTTCTAGTGTAGGAGATGGTAAGGATGGGTGAAACCATTAAACAAAAACAAAATCAAGGTCAGGAGGGATGAGGGGCAGGGAGGATGTCCAAGTACAGAAGAATACTGAGACTACTTAACCAACCCATTTTCTCTATACATGAGACTCAGGAAGTATAAATGACAGAGAAAAAAAAAGAGTACTTAATACATGACCAGCACTGTGCTAAGCTCTTTACACACATTACTTTTGAAAGTCTTACAAGAGCCTAGTAAAACAGATGGTGTTATGCTCATTTTTCAAATGAGAAAACCAGGGCTCAAAGTATAAGAAACTTTCTCAGGGTCATACAGCTAGTATGTGGCAGAGCTGGGAACTGAGTGCAGGTCTGTTCAACTCTAAACCCATGCTCCTAACTATTACAGTATACTGAGTTTCTCAAAATCCTGCAGCTAATTATAGAAGTTTTAAAAGAAAAGAGACAGTGTGTGGTGATGGAGAGATGTTACTAGAGAAAGACTGGCTAACCACCAAAGATCAGCAGGATGGCATGACCTTGTTGATTTGCCACACTGTGTGACCCCGAGCGTAGAAACCTGACTCATGAGCACTTGCAAGTAAATCGGCCTTGCAAATACAGACTCACTTCAGCTGAACCCATTGAAACTGATGATCGGACCACAATATCAGCTCAGTCACATTGAGAAACACATTTAGCAAGTGACCCAGATGCTGAAGTCCTCTGGACAGCGTGCTTCCTCCTAAATTCAAGCTATATGAGGAGCCAAGTTATAATCAGAAGGTTGCTTGCTGAACACAGATTAATAACAGGAAGAGCTTATTTGTAAACTTAATATTCAAGAGTATCAACCCACGAGTCCTGTGTTCGGCTCCACAGTAATAGGCATGAAGGACTCTGCCAGTAGTTATGGCAACAGGCAGACCAGAGAAGACAACGTGGGTTCCTACACACTTGGATCCTTTTCAGTGGTACAGCTCTGCCAGTGAGGAAAAAGCAAGTAAACCCGCACTGCGCACATGCACTCCTGCTCAGAGGCGCAGTATATCCAATTTAGAGACCACTCATGTTATCTGGCTACATGATCACCCTCTTTAACTTCTATTCAAAACCCAGCTAAACTCAAGCCCAATCCCCTCCACTAGGCAGAGGTAGCTTTGCTCAATCCCCGATTAATATTTATGCATTTGCGTATAGTTTAGTTGCTGTGTTGTTAAACCTGAGGAAGTAGTCTGATTATCAAGCAATCAGGAATCATTGCGCAGTCCATTCTTTCCTAAGACCTCTACTCCTTGATCCGATTACAGTTATGGGCTCACTCATTTTTGTTGTCACAAGAATATCGCATTGTCACAGCTTCATATTCTTTATTTTGTCTATGTCTTCATACATTTAACTGACCAAGATGTGTTCTCTTAAATCCACTATTTAGCAGATTCCCATCTACCAATATAACATGCTCAATATTTCCAAACATATATGGCATACATATTGCTTTACAAACTCTCTAACCAAATAATTTGTACATTCTAATTGCTTATGCTAATTTCTTCAGTATGATAGAGGTTCTCTCTGGTCAGTATTACCCATCACCTATGAACCAAACCAGACAGGAATTGGATCCATGACACTCTTTCTCTGCTGATTAATTCTAATCTTTACTCTGTGACTTTCCTCTGTGTCTTTAGCATTTATATCTTCTATTGTTGAATAAACCTCATCCCCTTATATATAATTCCTTTTGGTACAGTTACACCTTCATTCAAGTTAGTCAACTCTTTCTGAGCTGGAAGCTCTATTCTCTAATCTGTCAGAAATGTAAGACATGAAAATGCTTTGTAAATTATAAAGTGCTTTACAAAGGCTAAATGCCAAAATATTTGTTTTTAGGCTGAGTCGATTCCAAATGACTTCATCATTCAAAGATGTATATACATATATGTAGAATATTTATAATTGCTTTGAAATATGCACTAACTTCTTTGGTTAATCTTTCAGACCCCTTGGTCACTGGTGTTCTGGCTTACTTATGAAAAAATCAGAGAGATGAGTGGAGTCAGTCCATTTTAAGCCCTTAAAGATACAGTGTTCAGTATCATTGAAATATGGGCACCTGCAACACACCCCCCTATTATTTCTACCTCTTTAGGAAGACACCTTTCTCCACAGAGACTGTGATTTATAGGGGGCAGCACTTTATTTTTCTCTGGAAACCCAAGTTCTGTTTGACTCCTCTTTTTGTTCAAAAGCAATCTGGTTGGATCACACAAAATGAGACCCAGCACAGCGTTTTCTAAAGAAGACTTGAATCCTGACCACTTACCTTGGGCGAGAAGATTTGACCTTTGTGATGCTATTCTGTGCTGAAGGGGCCTGCTTAGAGGAGGCATCCCAGAGGGAGACAGCATCTCAGACCCGGAGTAGACAATAGGAATGTGGAAGAATACAGACACATGGAGTGACTAAGAAAAATATATTTCATCTGTTATGTCAGTATTTACAACGGAAATTTGATAATTCACTTTTCTGTTGTTAAAGTAATGTACTGTAATTTAAAGGAAGGTGAATGAAAATTCCTGAATAAACATTTTCAATTTCCCTAGTGTTGAAGGAAGTTGATGTACCTTTTCTTACAAGGAGGATGAAAACAAACAAGTCGAAATGATGTTTGGATTTCGAGGAAAGAAGCTGCTTTCTGTCAGTGCCCCCTCGTTAGTTAGATCTGTTCATTGGTTAGCACTCCACTGCATATGCTGAGGACTTCCCGACAGCCACAGACTCTGAATCTTGATGAAAACAGAGAAGAGTATTTGCTTTGTTACATATCCCCTTCCAATTTGGATATGTTGCTAGCTCTCAAGAATCTCAATATATTTAAAAAAAAGTAACTTATTTGATTAAAGCTCCGGTGGATAGGTCCTTTTTATAAAGCAACTTGTGTTATCACAGCCTCTCAGTGGCATTTTAAAAGCAAGGCTGAGATGAAGTCAGCCAATTCTGACATGCATCCTTTTTATCTCCCCTTCCCTAACACTAAGGGCCCTAGAGAGAGAGAGGATCAGGAATCACACTGGAGCTGTCTCCAGCCTGAGTCTCGTTCATTTTGACCAAGCTTCTTTCCTAAAAAGTGATAAGTATAAACTGCCCATGGTATATAGTTATGTCTCCAATCACTGAGTCACATCCCTTTTATCACTTTCGAAAGGTGAGAGATTTCTTCAGATTCACCTATGTACCACCTGCTCCCCAACATTAGACAATGGGCATTTCTGGATGGATGGCTACAGTTATGAGTTGAGGCTGTAAATGTCAAAGTAGGAAAACTCAAAAAGCTCAGACCCAAGAAAGACCTTGGAGCTCACCAAACAATTTATCATGGATATGGATGATGTTGAACGTAAAAAAGTTTACAAGTGCTCTGTGGTGGCACTAATGTATAATCACTGCCATTTAAGAGAGGAAGTATACTTTAAAATACATTTTAATGTGATGCGCTAATATGTAGTGGCTGATTGTTTTTCTATAGAATTTGCACAATGTGGAGTTTAATCTCTTAAAATCTTTAGGTGGTCTACTTTTCCATTGCATTTGTCAATCTGTATGAATTGAGTTGTTAAATATGTTTAAAAAAATATTATGTACTTAAATTCCCAAATGTTCTGCACTGGAACCATTTGGGGGAACTTTTGGGTTCTTTTGTTCTATAATTTTTAAAATTAAGTAAAGACTGGATCAAAATAATTATATGCAAACTGGACCATGGAAAATTTATTTAGCTTTATTCTTTGAGGGGCTTGGCGTTGCTTAAGTACTGAGACTCTTCCTTGGTATCCAGATTCAAGATGAATAATTGGAATTTTTTAACCTGAAATGACTCCTTGGGATCATCTGGTTTACCCCTCTCATTTTACATGTTAGGAAACTGAGGCCCAGAGAAGTAGAGTTGTTCGTGCTCGTAAGTTACTTAGTTGCAGAGCTAAGATAAAAATACAGAGCTCCTCGTTATTATTATACCTGACAGTTACTGCACACTAATTAGTATTGAGTATATGTCTTATGTCATCTTCACAACAACCCAGTCCAATGCTCTGTCTTCCAAAAACAGATTTTTTTCTTTATGACATTCTTTGTCTTTTTCATTTTAAATGAATTTGAGTAGCCTTTAGCATAGATTTCAGAATGGATTCACGAAGCTTGAGCTTGAACGTTAAGACCCTCCATAATCTAACCAAATCCTGTATGTCCAACAGATAGATCTCACCACATTAATACTTTTCCAGTGAGATCATATTCATCAATGTATCTTGGAACTTTGCTTTATTTTTACCAACTTGAAATCATCTTGTTCCTCTCCAAAATAATCCAAAGTAAATAAAAAGGAATAAAAACTTCAGTAATTTGGGGTCCATACTGAAAGACTTAACCATTTCCATCTCACTTTCTTATTAATACTACTACTGTATGTGGTATTTATCTGCAGCTTGGTATTAATAATATTTAATATCTAAGTTTCTTTTGCTTAGCTTCCACATTTTTTCTCCTCCCAAATGATTTTTTTCCCACTGAAATATATGTTTAAATTATATACAGTTCTTTGTTCTTTATATGTATCAGTGAATTATCATATATATCCAAATAAAGAGATAACATTTCTTACATTTTCTTTTAATAAGGAATGTGTCTTTATCAAGTGTTTCAAATACTATTTGATTATAAGCCGCTAGTTGTAGGACCATGTCTTGTTTTTATACAAATCTCTATTGTCATTAATAGCATTTCTTTGCTGTTAGCTAGAACCAAGATTGATTATAGTTATATATAGCATGAATCAACTAATTTAGTCTTCATTATTTTAAGAATCTGTGACTATCGTAAGACTAGTCTGAAATTTCTTTCACTTTGCTAAGAAAAAGAAACAAATTCAGGGAGGTTTTAAATGTAAAGAAAATTTGCTATCCCCTCATCTTCAAATTTTCAAGCACAACCATTTATTTACAATTGAAATAGTTATACATATTCTTCTCTGTTCATGAAAACATATTCCCTCAGGTCCTCCATAAGAAAAATGTTTAATTTTAATACTTGATGGGTAAAAATAATTGGGGGGAGGAATATTTGATTCTGCCCATTTAAACCAAGACTCTTTAAAGATAATTACTAAACAAAAATATATTATTATTAAATGCTAGGTCATGTGTTGAAAAGACTGAAGTTGAATCCTGAAGACCTTTATCCTATTTTGGGCTCTAATTCTGACAAAGCATTGTAATCATGATCAAGTCCCTTCACCTCTCTTGATTTCTGTTTCTTTATAAGATTAAGTGATTGAACCCTAGAATCTTAACTTGCATATACTTGAAGAGGGCCATTATATTGATGTGATGTGAAAAAAATGGGAATTAAAAAAAATTTATTAGGATTTGTTTTTCCTAGATTTAATTAATTTCTTATATTTCAAGATTGGGAAAAGTTTATTCAGGCCTTTAAGTATAATACAAACTTTTTATATGACTGGGCTCTCCCACCCAGAAATCCATCCTTCTCAGAGTAGCAGAGTTGTCTTCCTTCAGGCAACTCTGGGCACATCACCCCATATTCTTACCTTCAATTGTTCCTTCATACACACACAATAAAAATTAAAATCTTTAATACTATATCCAAGACCATCTCGATCTTACTTCAACCCATTTTTCTAACCTTTGCATATCACTGCATATGTGCACTCTACCTCCTTGCAAATACATTGCTCCATTTATTTCTCTGGAGATGCTCTTCACTTGGCTACTTTTCATGCAGTATTCATGCTGTGCTCTCCACCTAACTTTCCTCCCAGCACTACCACCATTCATTTTCATTTTCACTGGTTAAATCCTACTTTAATATCTAGGATGATTTCTGAAGACTTCAACATCTTCCGCACCTCCATGCTCCCATAGCTTCCCCTACTGCAGATGCATGTCTGTATGGATGGATGGATACCTACTTCCCCTCTACAGAATGAACTGCTTGCAAGCAAGGACCATGTAATACATCTCTGTATCTCTTATAAACTTCAATAGAAGCCAAGTAAAAGGTATTTGTTGAATTCAGAGATTTTTGGGGGGTGGAGAGAGAAAAACATTTATGTACACACGGTTAAGTCATATGCTGTTTTCCACCTACCTTCAGAATAATTAAGTTGAGTCAATAACACTTGATTTCATTATATTCTTTACCATATTAAGTGCTTAACTGCATTTTCAAAAGATCATGTGTGTTTAAATGTAATTATTATAATTTTAAGAAGTATTATCTTCATCAGTTTAATAGCTATTCCACAAAAATCTAGAATTTGGTAGTTTTAAATAATACAAAATATTTGGTTAATTGATTGATAGTTAATGAGTAAGAAAGGAGTTTATATATTCTTCATTTTAGGGCGTATATGGAAATTATATCACTATTTTGGCCTTCACTGATACCATACAAATGCACATTTTACCCACTCAAGTGTTTTATTATTTCTGAATTTTGAGGAATACATGATTATTTTTCTCTCCCCATACTTTACCCCCAACAGGCTGCTGTGATTGTCAACAGCAGCAGGAGCCACTTTGAAGGCTTGATAAAAGCAGATGAAGAGGCTTAAAGATGTCTGTTTGCTGAAAATATCTGGTAACAAACAGGAATATATGTGAGTAAATATAGTGCATTATTCTGATTTTTAAAATAAATGTTTTAAAATGCCTAATTGGTTGTTAAGGGTTTTGTTTTTTCCTGGTGTATTTTTGAGTTAAAATGATAATAAATTTAGAGATTAATTCTTAATCTTTACTTTTCTCAATTGAAATAAATAGTGGCCTAATTTATAATGTCATATTTGAAATATTTATATTAGCAAAAAGGACACTCATACCTTGTCGCTATAAATTTTATTTTATGGATATTCCCTATTAATCCAGTTCTGCTATGACTAAAAAGATGGATAAGTAATAATTACAGTGATAGACATACTTACTAAGGAAAATGTTAGAATTTAAACATTAGAAAATTAGTCCCTTCTTTTTTGATACCATGTTCTATTTTGATTTCCATGATACTATTCCCTCTTGTCACTTATATTTTTCATTACTACTTTTCAGTTTCTATTGGCTGTTTGCTGCCAAGTCCTTAAAATTTGGTTCTTCAACATTCTGTTCTTGGCCCTCTTCTCAATGTTCACTCTCTCTCTAGGAAGAGCCACACATTTCTGTAACTTCAGCTACTACACTTGGGCTGGTAATTCCCAAATATATAATAGGCACTCAATAAATACTTGTTACTATATTATCTGTGTTCCTGGTCCTTACTCATTGCTCAAGCTTTAGTCATGTTTTCTCAATTGGCAACTGAATGTCAGGGTGGGCCACAGTCATTGTGAGCTCAAATTTCCCAGCATTAAATCAGTATCTTTTATAACAATCCTTCCTCCCTGCCCTTTAAAATAGGCTCTTCCTCCAGGATTTTCTTTTGCACTACATACCCAATACTGCAGCCAAGAAACCTCAGGACATCCTTCACTTCTCATTTGTTTTCTTTACTTATTGTCCAAAATGCTTAAATCCGTTTATGAAAAAGAAAACTACAGACCAGTGTCTCTTATGAACACAGATGCAAAAGTCCATAAGCACCACTTTACACTCATTAGGATGGCTATTATTAAAAAATAAAAAAAATTAAGTGTTGGTGACGATGTGGAGAAATTGGAACACTGAATTGCTGGTGAAAATGCTACAGCCGCTATACAAAACAGTATGGGGTTTCTGAAAAAATTAAACATAGAATTATCATATGATCCAGCAATTCCATTTCTAGGTATGTACCCAAAAGAATTGAAAGCAGGGACTTGAACAGATATTTGTACACCAGCGTTCACAGCAGCATTTTTCACAGAGCCAAAAGGAGGAAACAATCCAAAAGTCCATTGATAAATGGATGAATGGATAGATAAAATGTGGTATATACATAGAATGGAATATTTTTTTGGCCTTAAAAAGGAAGGAAATTCTGAGACATGCTACAACATGGATGCATCTTGAAAACATTATGCTGATTAAAATAAGCCAGAACAAAATGGGCACATATTGTATGATTCTACTCATGTGAGATACCTAGGATAATCAAATTCTTAGAAACAGAAGTTGAACAGTGGTTACCAGGGGTGGAAATGGAGTAGAAGGAAGTCAATGTCTAATGGGTACGGAGCTTCAGTCTGGGATGATGAAAGGTTCTGGAGAGGGATGGTGGTGATGGTTGCACAACTATGTCAATGTACTTAATGCCACTGAACCATACACTTAGAAATGGTTAAAATGTAAGTTTTATGTATATTTTATTACATTAGAAAACAGCTGAAAAAATTTAAAAATCATTAGAAGTGAAAAAATATTAGCAGATTGAATTTAGCATTATAAAAAAAAGAGAATACATCATACCTAAGTGGGGTTCATCCCAGGAAGACAGGTTGGTTCAACATTCAAAAATCAATCAATATAATTCACCTTATTAACAAACAAAAAGAGAAAACAACATATCGTCTCAATAGAATGTGAAAGGGTATATGACAAAATTCAATATTCTTTCATGATAAAAGTTCTCAACAAACTAGGAACAGAAGAGATTTTCTTCAACCTGATGAAAGGGATCTAAGTAAAACCTATAGCTAACATCACACTGTGAAAGACCGAAGGCTTCCTCCTAAATTAAGAACGAGACAAGAATATCCATTCTCACCATTTCTACTCAAAACTGTATTAGAGGTCTTAGCTATTGCAATGAGGCAAGGAAGAGAAATAAAAGGCATATATATTGGAAAGGAAGATATAAAACTGCCTTTATTCATAGATGGTATAATTATGTGGAAAGTCCCAAGGAATCTACAAAAAAGCTGCTAGAATTAATAAGTGAGTCTTAGCAAAGTCACAAGATATAAAGTCAATATACAAAAAGAAACATATTGCTGTACTACCAATAAAAAATTGGAAACTAAAATTTAAAAAATTCATTTACAATAACATCAAAAAACATGAAAAACTTAGAGATAAATCTAACAAAATGTGTGCAAGACTTGTTCACTGAAAACTACAAAGCATTGCTGAAAGAAAGTAAAGAAGACCTCAATTAATGGAGAGAGAAACTGTGTCCATGGATTGAAAGACTCAATACTGCTCAGAAGTCAATTCTCAAATTGATCTCTATCTGCAATGCAATCCTCATAAAAATCCCAACAGGTTATCTTTTTTTTGCAGAAATTGACAAGTGTATTCTAAAATACGTATGGAAAAGCAAAGACCTTGAATAGCCCAGTGAGGAAAAAGAACAAAGTTGAAGGATTCATATTACTTACTTTCAAAATTGACTTTTAAGCAGTTTAAAATGACAATAAGACAGTGTGGTATTGGCATAAAGATAGATATATAGATGAATGGAACAGAATAGAAAGTCAAGGAATAGACCCACTCACATATGGTCAACTAATTTTTGGCAAATGTGCCAAGATAATTTAATCAGGAAAGTATAGTCTTTGCTACAAATGACACTATAACAATTGGATATCCATATGCAAAAACAGAATAAAACAAAACCCTCAGTGCTTCTCTCACAACACATACAAAAATTAATTCAAAATGGATCATGGACCTAAATACAAGAGCTAAAATTATAAAACTTGTAGAAGAAAACTTTGAAAGTTTTTTTAACCTTGGTTTAGGCAAAGATTTCTTGGGACACAGAAACTACCACCTAGAAAAGAAAAAAATACGTGAATAGCTTGATTTCATCAAAATTACAAACTTTTTTCTTCAAAAGACACTACTAAGGAAATAAAATGACAAACCATACACTGAGAGAAAATACATGCAGAACGCATATCTGATAAAGTACTTGTAATCAGAATATATAAGAGCACTTACAACTCAAAAATAAGGTGACAAACAACTCCTTTAAAAATGGACGAAAGAGTTGATCAGATACTTCACCAAGGAAGATATCTGATGACAGATAAACACATGAAGAATGTTCAACATCATTAAGAAAATACAGATTAAAACCACAATGAGATACCACTACCGAACACAAGAATGGCTAAAACGAAAAAGACTGACGATACCAAGTGCTGATGAGGATGCAGAGCGGCTCATATGTTGTTGGTAGGAATGCAAAATGACAGACATTTTGGAAAATAATTCGAAAGTTTCTTATAAAGTTAACATACATTTACCATATGACACAGCAATCTCACTCCTACTATTTAACCAAGGGAAATAAAAACTTATGTCCACACAAATATGTATATATGAATGTTTACAGCAGCTATATTGGTAATCACCAAAAACTGTCCATAATCTATTGAATTGATGTGGTATGTCTATACAATGGAAAAATATTCAACAATAATAATAAACTACTGATACAGACAACATGGATGAATTCAAAAGCATTATGCTAAGTGATGGAAGTCTGACACAAGAGGCTACAAACTGTGTGATTCCATTTATCTGACACTCTGGAAAAGACAAAACTTATAGGGACAGTGAGTGCCAGCGACAGTGGTTGCCAATGGTTGATAGGGACTGAGCCCATGAGGGAGGGAGGGGATAGATTGCAAAAAGGCATAAGGGAACTATTTAGATAATGAAAATGTTTTCTATTTTAGCTGTGGTGGTGTACATTTACAACTGTATACATTTGTACATGTGTAGTGCTGTGCATTTACGTTGAATACAAATGCACACTGTATACAAATGTATAACTGTACAATTGTCAAAACATCATCAAACTGCACAATAAAAGGGTGAATTTTACTGTATGTAAATTATGCCTCAAACCCAATTTTTAAAAAGTCTAATTTAAGGGGCTGGCCCCGTGGCCGAGTGGTTAAGTTCGCACACTCCGCTGCAGGCAGCCCAGTGTTTTGTTGGTTCGAATCCTGGGCGCAGACATGGCACTGCTCATCAAAGTACGCTGAGGCAGCGTCCCACATGCCACAACTAGAAGAACCCACAACAAAGAATATACAACTATGTACCTGGGGGCTTTGGGGAGAAAAAGGAAAAAAATAAAATCTTTAAAAAAAAAGTCTAATTTAAGATTTTTTAATCTTTAAGAGAACTTTTTCAAATTTTTATTTTATTCAATATTACTAATAACTATTACTAAATTTTTATTTTAGTCAATATTACTAATTACTAATTTTATTCAATAATTACTAATAGTTATATGTCTACTGTTGTGAGCCCTTTACATATATTGGGTCATCCGATATTCATAATAAAGTTAAGTAAAATTCCATTTTTAGATGAGGAAACTAACTCAAAAGTTCACTGTCCATGTCACCCTGAGATAAGAAACAGGGACTTTCAAAATCTGAAGCCTTTGCTTTTTCCACTATGTTTTGTTGCATCTCAAGTATTTATTTAATGCAAACATGTTAACTGTACTTACATTAGTTCATGCCTCAGAACTACGTGTGTCCTTACATTCATTTTCAGATGTGGAAACAAGAAGATAGATAAATAATTTGCTTTGGCTTGCTTTTTCTACTCTAATTGTCCCCCTATAATGGCATAGTCTTGAATTATTTGTGTGTGTGTATTCTAATGAAACTTTAGTTATGGACACTAAAATCTGAGTTTCATAGAATGCTTTTTAAAATTTTAATTTTGAAAAAATTTTAGATTCACATAAAGTTGAAAAAAATGTACAAGAACGTCCCATGCACCTTTCACTGAGTCCTCTCTAATTTTAACATCTTCCACAACTGTAGTACACAATCAAAACCAGCAAAGTGACATATAATCCACAGATTCCGATTTCACCAGTTTTACAAGCATCTGTGTGTGTCTAATTCTATGCAATTTTATCACCTTTGTAACCATCTTTGTAACCATGCTTCCTGTAACCATCACCACATTCAGAATACAGAACAGCTGCATCGCAAGGCTCCCTCATGCTCCCCACTTTATAGGCACTCACCCCCTCTCCCCCATCCCTAATGCTTGGCAACCACTAATCTGCTCTGTATCTCTATATTTCTGTTGATTCAAGAATATTATATAAATGAAATCATACAGTATGTGACCTTTTGGGATTATATATATATATTTTTTCACTTAGCATAATTCCCTGAGAAACTTCCCAGTTGTAGCATATATCAATAGTTCATTTCTTTTCCTTTTTATTGCTGAGTTGTATCCAGTGGAGTGGATGTACCACAGTTTGCTTAAACATTTACTCCTTGACACTTGGGTTGTTTCCAGTTTTTAGCTCTTAGGAATATAGCTGCTGTAAACATATTTGTACAGGTTTTTGCATGAACATAAGTATTCATTTCTCTGGGATAAATGCCCAAGAGTGTAATTGCTAGGTCACATGGCAAGTACATATTTAGTTTTTAAAAAGTGGCTATACCCTTTTACATTCCACCAGCAACGTGGGGAAAGAAGCATTTAACAGTCTCCGAGTACTCTCATACTTCATTTTAACCCCAGGCGATCAAACAGGTTCCTAAAGGACAGGAGAAGCACCTCGCTCCAGGTCCCAACACCGAAAGAGCATCAGCAAACCCCGGCCCCGCGGGGCTCAGGCGCACTCGACCGCCTCAGGCGGGAGCCGCGGGCCTCGGAGCGCAGGCCCACTCTGCTAGGCACATGCCCTCGGCGCCTCCATCCCTCCTTCCCGTTTCTGGCTCACGGGCTCCGTCAGCATGCGCCGGACAGCCGAAAACGAAGTCCCTTTCGGGCCTGGCGCTCACCGCAGCCCGCTG